ACCCCCGCTTCCAGGCAGAACCTGTTCTGCCCTTATCTCTAATTTTGTTGAAGAGAAGACATAAGCATAATAAGAAAAAGCATTTTTGCTAGTTAAGGATAGGTATACAGAGAGATTCCTAGCATTGCTTCTATGTACACATGTGCTACAACCGAAGTTGATTCATCTCTAATTGATCTTTACACTGGTTCCTGATTCCTTTCTCGTGTTGACCTCTGTTGCTTTAAGGTTTCTGTATTAGTTCCTCTGAAGTGGGGACATCAAACACTTTCATGTTTTGGGTTTTCTACCTATTCCTATATCTCCTGTATGTGCTCTCCCCTTATCATGTGACCCAAGTCCAACCACATTGCTGCATTTGCCCCAGATCTAAAGTCCGCATGTAAGACCAGTGGAACAGAATAGAGGACCCAGATAGGAAGCCACACAACTATAACCAACTTGTCTTTGACAAAGGTGCTAAAAATATATGATGGAGAAAAGACAGCCTCTTCAACAAAAACTGTTGGGAAAACTGGTTAGCAGTCTGCAAAAAACTGAAACTAGATCCATATATATCACCCTATACCAATATTAACTCAAAATGAATCAAGGATCTTAATATCAGACCCCAAACTCTAAAGTTGGTACAGGAAAGAGTAGGAAATACTCTGGAATTAATAGGTATAGGCAAGAACTTTCTCAATGGAACCCCAGCAGCACAGCAACTAGGAGATAGCATAGATAAATGGGACTTCATAAAACTAAAAAGCTTCTGCTCAACAAAAGAAATGGTTTCTAAACTGAACAGACCACCCACAGAGTGGGAGAAAATATTTGCCAGCTATACATCAGACAAAGGACTGATAACCAGAATATATAGGGAACTTAAAAAACTAAATTCTCCCAAAATTAATGAACCAATAAAGAAATGGGCAAGTGAACTAAACAGAACTTTCTCAAAAGAAGAAATTCAAATGGCCAAAAAACACATGAAAAAATGCTCACCATCTCTAGCAACAAAGGAAATGCAAATTAAAACCACGCTAAGATTCCACCTCACCCTGTTAGAATAGCCATCATTAGCAACACCACTAAAAACAGGTGTTGGTGAGGATGGGTGGGAGGGTGCGGAAGGAACCCTCCTACACTGCTGGTGGGAATGTAAACTAGTACAACCACTCTGGAAAAAAATTTGGAGGCTACTTAAAAAGCTAAACATAGATCTACCATATGATCCAGCAATACTGCTCTTGCAGATATACCCAAAAGAATGTGACACTGCTTACTCCAGAGGCACCTGCACACCCAGGTTTATTGCAGCACTATTCACAATAGCCAAGTTATGGAAACAGTCAAGATGCCCCACTACTGAGAAATGGATTAAGAAAATGGAATTTTATGCAGTCATGAAAAATGAAATGTTATCATTCACTGGTAAATGGATGGAATTGGAGAACATCATTCTGAGTGAGGTTAGCCTGGCCCAAAAGACCAAAAATCGTATGTTCTCCCTCATATGTGGACATTAGATCAAGGGCAAACACAGCAAGGGGATTGGACTTTGATCACATGATAAAGCGAGAGCACACAAGGGAGGTATGAGGATAGGTAAGACACCTAAAAAACTAGATAGCATTTGTTGCCCTCAACGCAGAGAAACTAAAGCAGATACTTTAAAGCAACTGAGGCTAATAGGAGAAGGGGACCAGGAACTAGAGAAAAGATTAGTTCAAGAAGAATTAACTTAGAAGGTAACACACATGCACAGGAAAGCAATGCAAGTCAACTCCCTGTATAGCTATCCTTATCTCAACTAGCAAAAACCCTTGTTCCTTCCTATTATTGCTTATACTCTCTCTACAACAAAATTAGAGATGGGGCAAAATAGTTTCTGCCTGGTAGCGAGGGGGTGGGGGATGAGAGAGGGGGTGGGGGGTAAGGGAGGGGGTGGGGGAAGAGGGGAGAAATGACCCAAACATTGTATGCACATATGAATAAAATAAAAATTAAAAAAAAAAAAAAAAGAACCAGGCAGAGGTGGGCAGTGCTTAAGAAAAAAATAATAATAAAAAAAAATAAAGTCCGCATGTGAAAGATAATCTTTACAAAATGCTTGCCTGTGCTTGTCCATAAGGCAAGCATTCTCTAAATAATATCTAATGTCAATGTCACTTTTCTTGCTATTTTAAAATTTAGCCTCCTGGCTCACCCAAAACATACCACCCAGTCTGGAGAACAGGTTCTGAGTTTGAGACTGCCTACCCTGCATCCCACATTCTCAGCTCCCCAGTCCCCCACATTTCTGAGAATACCTCCTATGTGTATACTTTTGTCACTGCAGTCCATCCAGTTTCCCTACCTCCTAGGTCCTGATAAGAATCATGATACTTGATAGAGCTCTTTATTGTCACAGATGTCAGTTCTGAAACATCTGAAACACAGATGTCAGGCAAGAATCCCTTGTCTTCCCATCCCTCAAGTCAGCCACCCAAACAGGTGACAGGCTTCAACCATAAAAATCTGAGAAGACCTAATTTATTCCATCCAGCAAGGAGGGATGAAAGCAAGAAGGGTCAGGCCTGGTGGTTCTCCTTGGTAATCCTAGCTACTTGGGAAGTAGAGATTGGGAGGATTGCAGTTGGAGGCCAACCCAGGCAAAACGTTTGAGCCACCCCATTTCATCTAATAGCTGGACATGGTGGTGCACGCCTGTCACTCTAGCCAAACTGGGAAGCATCAGTCGGAGGTGGAAGTCCAGGAATAAAACAAGACTCTATCTCAAAAATAACTAATGCAAAAGGGCTGACAGAGTGGTGGAGCACATGCCTAGCAAGCACGAGGGCCTGAGTTTTGCTCCTAGTACTGCCAAAAAAAAAAAAAAAAAGGAATGAAGAACCTGTCATGCAGTCCTGGGGCCCCAACCAGAGAACCCACATTGGGCTTTGCACAAAGGCAACATCCAGCCATGGCCAGTATTTCAGCCTAGTTTCATGAGCCCTCTCCTGTCTTACCTCTTTTGTATTCACTAATTCAACCCACTAGTGCACTTTTGCTTCTTCAACCATGTTTATCTTATCCTTTTAAGGGCAACTTTCTCCCATGTTTAGTCTGTGCTTTTAGTTTTATGTTCTCACAGATTTTCTTGGTTAATTCCTTCATATTTATAAGATTTATAGTTTTTCTCTCCCTCCTCACTCAATCAACGGATTCCCTCTTCCTGTAGGCAGCTATTTCCCACTCCACTCCCACTCTCACCGACACTCATCTCCTTTAGCCCCATGGATACAAACAGAAAAAGTAGCAGCCTTTGATATAACAACTGATTAACAGTGTTACTGGTTTAGCTAATTTTTTTTTTCAGTATTGGGGGTTGAACTCAGGGCGTCACACTTGCTAAGCAGGCGCTTTACCACTTGAACCTTCTGTTATTTGCTTATATTCTAGATCTACAAGCAAAATACTTGGGCATGTGCCCTGTTTTCTGGAAAATGGCCATTGTCCTCCTTTTCCCATAGACCCTGGTGAGGTTGTATCTACTTGGACATCATTTATGAATGTGTGTGAGGTAGTGATTACCTGGAATGCAGGATCTGCCCTTTTGAAAGATTAATGATTAAGATCATAGTAATTAAAGCCTAAATGTTAAAGCCACAAGATATGGGTCTAAATTCTGCTTCTGCAACTTTATATTTTGAATATGTTTGCTTATTTTTGTTTGTGAAAGTACGAGTTAGATAAATTAAGCTCTTAATCCTATCAAGGTGGAAATATCAGAATTAGTCCTTCAGTTATGGATACTGGCCCCTGTGCTAATTCCTCTGCCTTTGTTTCCCTGGCTCCTCCCCTTTTCCTTTATGGCTTCCTTTGTGTATTGATTCAACTATGTTATCTGCTATGTGTTCTAGCACTGTTCTAGATGTCCCTCTCTTCTGGGATCTGGGTCTTGTTTTATATCCCAAATGGGGTCCTACCATCAAGCTGGAGAATGATCTCTAGAATGGCCTCCCATTATACCTAGGCCTGCTTGAATTCCTTACAGACCCCAGGCCTGTAAGGAATTCAACCTGAAAACCTGGCCCCAGCCATATCTGGATTTCAGCTAACTTGTGATAAAGGATCTTTCTTTGACCAAACATTAGTCAGGCTCCTCTAAGTTCTGTTCTAACTAGGCTTCAACTTGGTCCTGTCTTTGGCCTGCCCAGTAGAGTTTTAGCAAGAATCCTGCTAAGTAAGTTTAGCAAGTCCCCCAACCTTTGGTATCTGATCCCCTACATTTGGTACTTAAGTCCTTGGCCTTCCTTTAGTAAGAATCCTATTAGGTCAGTTTGGCAGGAATCCCCCATCCTTGAAATCTCCTTTTCCTAATTTTCTATCCACTGATCCTCTCTCATTCTTCTCCTTGGTTATAAATTTCTGCTTGTCCTTATTGAAGTAGGAGTTGAACTCAGTATATCTCCCCTGTTGACCTCTATTGCAATAGTTCTTTAATAAAGTCTTCTTCTGCATTTCAACAAGTATCAGAAAAAAATTTTAACAGTTGCCATTCCGAGAAAACAACTGTGGACAGCCCATGGCAAAGCTACCCTGCTGGGTCATCTGCCTCCTTTCCCTGGTCCACTCTAGTGATCAGGCCTTTGTCCCAGGCCCTTGAGCTCCTCTTCTTCAATAGTCCTTAGCAGGCACATGTAGCAAGACAACTCTGGTAGAGTCACTTGAAAATATAAACCTTGAGAGAATGGGACAATTTTATTTCAACCAACTTCATCTAGTTAATTCGGTCAGTAAGATCATCAAAACGTATGAATAGGGGGGCTCGCGGAGTGGCTCAAGTGGTAAGAGTGCCTGCCTAGGAAGTATAAAGCCCTGAGTTCAAACCCCAGTACCACCAAAAAAAAAAAAAATGTATGAATAAATGTAAATGGTTTCTCAACATAAATATATTTTCAAAGAGCTTCCTCATTTGTATTATAGACATAAACAAAATACATACACTCAAGGCATGAAATATCTGTCCTGTGCTCTTTTGAATAAAAAAAAATCATAGTGATGCAGGTCTTCAATGTTCCAATGGTGCCATAAACAAATTTGCTGGCCTTTCTTTGAATAAATAGTTGTCTGAAATTTTACCTCTTGGTAAAATTTACTTTCAAGTATGTTTTTGTTAGCAGAGAGGCTTTATTATAAAAGTCTCCTTACCCAGGACTCTGGTGATTTTTCATGTTTTACTCATCTCTTTCATTTGGCTTCAAGTAAGTTAAGAATGACAAAATTCAAAATTTACTAAATTTTGTGTTAATGTCAGGTATAGAATTTTCATCTTGAGTATCTCCCTTCACAGAGGCTGTTCCTGAAGGGCTTTGTAGGAAATGTCGTGCCAACCATTCATTGGTTCTCATGGCTTTACAGTGGAGGCAGAGCCTTTCCCTTATTTGGTAATTTCCCAGATTCCTTTGCCTCTGAGCTGTTTTTCTCTTCTGAATACTGGCTGGTGATGGATGATATTCACTTTCACTCTCCTTCCAGGAGGAGGCTCCTGAGTTAGATTCTTCACTGTCACATTCAGTAGTATCACTGTCATGTTGGATCTGATTCACCTGGTAGAACTGAGAATGGTGCTTGGCTCGTCTTTGTTCAAGATAGGCATTGACCAAGGCCACTTCTGAACTGGTTACAGGGGAAAGTTGACTCTGCTTAGGTTTCTTCATCATTTGTGAAGAGTCCCAGGGGCTATCTTTACTTTGCCACTTATTGGAAGTTTCTTTGCTTGCTAACCAACAAAACAAATGGACAAGTTAGGCACACCATTGGTTACTGTAACTTCATATTACTAAAGGAAACCCACAGCATATGTGGGCTCACTCTTTTATTTTTTTTAAGTGTTATTTTACTTTTTAGTTAGAATACATTGATAGGTAGGGGGTTTCATTATGCTGTCTTCATATTGGGCTCACTCTTAGTGACCAGTTGCCATGTCAACACTTTTCTCCAGTCATTTGCAAAGGCTGGCAACTGACTGCATTTTCTAGTACCATACCTCATCTCCTAAAGACTAGAGGGGTCACACAGACACTTCCCTGGAATATAAGATCAAAGAGAAAGGTCTCCAAACCTTTCCAGAGAAGAACACTTTTTTCCTATGCCATGAAGTCTCAAAGATTCAAGTGTGCATATGAATGTGATTTGGGTAGTAAGAACTAAAAAGGAGGACAGAGCATGGTGGTTCAAGCCTCTAATCCCAGCTACTAAAGAAGCAAAGTAGGAGGATCATGGTCCAAAGCAGCCCCTGGGAAAAATATGAGGCCCTATCTAATAAATAACTAATGCAAAAAAGACTGGGGGAGTGGCTCAAGTCATAGAATACTTGCCTATCAAGTTCAAGGCCCCTGAGCTCAAAATCACAAAAAGAAAAAGAACTAAGAAGGATCTTTTCTTTATTTAATGGTATGCTAGAGTTGGCTTGTACCAGATCACAAGAGGTGATGTACTTTCAGGATTTTTTTTGTTGTTTTCAGTTGTGGTGATTGAACTCAGGGCCTTGTGCTTGCTAAGCAGGCATTGTACCAATTGAGCCACACTCCAACCCCATTTGCAGGGATTTTGTGAGGTGGTTAAACATAGTCATTACTAAAAATTATGCAAACTTAGAACTAAATCAATCTACTTTTTAAAAGGTAATAATCACTTGATAGGTATCACTTTCTAATTATCTTACTACAGTTTATTATGCTGCTTGCTCTTGAAGCTATTTATATCTGTTGTATCTGGATATTGGAAATACTGTAAATGGCAAAGCATGTGCCACTGAACACCTCTCCCCAGCTGCATGTTCAGTGACATCATGTCAGTAGCTTGAAACCAGCTTTGACGGGAATATTAATATCCTGAAAATCGGAAAATGCTAAAGATCAAGGCTTCTATTGATTGCTGAGGCTTAACAAAGTGATGGACAACATATTACTAGTGCTCATTTCACTGTCATACCTGTAGCTACTACATTGTAAGTAGCATGTCAAAATGAAGAAATATTCTTCCAACATTCTAAAGCTATCATCCATTTCAGCAAAGAAGTCACTTACAACCAAGTTAAGTTCCAACATACGTATTTTATTTCACTTTCATCTTACTCATTAACTTTGAGGGAAATAATATGCATGCTGAAACTACATTTGTTCATTACTGCAGCCATGGGATGTCTCAAGACGCAAGAGTCTGGCAAGAACCAAGAAGAGCGTTTTTGTGCAATCAGTTGTCTACACAGAATTACCATAAAGAGTATTGCATGTGTCATTATTTATAAATTGTGATAGACATCTTTTATATCAAGAAGATTCTTAATAAACTTACATATACACACAAACATGCACATTTTTAAGAGCCAGTTGTTAAACATTCACCAGCATAGCACAGCTTCAAAAAGATGTCAGATACTGTAGCTCACTTTCCCATCATGGCTAACAGTGAAAACGTATAAAGGACAAGCTATCTGGAAGGAGTGCTGAGGAATTTAGAGAGCCTGAGCTCTCTGGATCAGTCATTCATAGCTTCTGGTGGCTCTGCTAAAGCAGCTGGGCTTTTGCTTCTGCCTAAGGGAGGAGAAGAGCAAGGAGCTCACACAGTGGGCCTCTGGTAGTGTGGAGAAGCTTTACAATGCTCTCAGCTATTCACCTCTGCACACTAAGCACATATTTCTCTTATCATAGTCCAATTCCAAGTACACACTGGCTCTCACCTTTATTTACTGAAGCACTCGTCCCACTGTCTTCATCCCTTTTATTCTCAGACATCTGTTTCAGAAATACAGATTAGTAAGAGAGATCTCAGTTAGTTGCTTTTCACTAATATTTACTTGTTAAGAAGCACTATTGCTCAAGGCCCTTTCATATCTAATTTTAAACATGCAGCACAGTTAAATAAGTACTTATTGAGTTCCTGTTATTGTGATCCTACTTCTGCTGCCAGTTCAGAAGATCATGCTTTGACACAACAATCTACCAAAATGTGGTCCGAGCCAAATGGAACAAAGACAGGAAAGAAAATAATATTGATGAGGAGCTGTAGCTTGTAAAGTTTTCCCTTATCTCCATTTATATTACAGAGAAATTTCATTTAAAAACGGATGATAGTACTTAGTTTAAATTTTTTTTTTAAAGCCAGGGGTGATTGCTCACGTCTTCAAACCCATCACTCAGGAGGCTGAGGCAAGATGACCTCGAGTTCAAGACCAGCCTATGCTACACAGAGAGATGTTTGATCAGGCTGTGACACTGACAGTTCTTTAAATAAGTTGTCTGATATAAGACACTTAAATATACAGAGATTTTTACCTGAATTCACGGACTTATCTCCTTAATCTTTTAGAAAGGTTCCTTCAAAATGCAACAATAACATATCTGTGAATATGTCACTCGGAAGAAATGGATTTCTTTGAATAGTTCCAATTCCAAATATTCTGCCCCAGTATCCACAAATATATTTATCCCATTTTTCATATTAGTATCACATTTTCTGAGGCTGAAAATGATTTTGCACAAAAATACAAATATTAAGCAACTGTTTCAGAATGTATCAAAAAATTTAGAAGTACTCAATACATCTTTTTTGTTTGTTTTAGAGACAGAGTACTTCTATGTAGCCCAGGCTGGCCTTGAACTCTAGATCCTGTTGCCTTAGCCTCCTGAATTCAGGGATTGCAGGACTGTACCACCACACCCAGCTGTTATTAATACCACATTCTTAGGGAATCTATCACCAGGAAATAATCCCCAAAAGAGAGAAAGCTTTGTAAACACACATATTCATCATAATGTAATTAGAATAATATAAAATTCAAAATTCAAAAGTAGACAATGGTTAATTAAATTACAATTATATATCGTTTTAAAAATTATTATAATTAAAGTATGTGATGGCATGATGAAAAATATTTCAATACTGGACTAAAAATCAAGATGGAAATGTATATATAATAGTAGATCCCACATTAGTTTAAAACTTGAAAAGAAAAAAAGACTTTTAGGATATTTATGTAAATGACAGCAATGGTTGATTTTAAGTGGTGGGACAGTATTGATTTTTTTCATACTATTTTCTTCAAATTGTCTACAATTAAGGAAAAAAATTAATTTATGTAAAAAGTCAAACTTCCTGTGGGTTGAAGTATGCTGTTTTTGGACATTTATAGCTGCAACCCAAGGTCCCTGGCCCATTGCTTTCTTCCTGTCTCTAACAAGGCACTTCTTCTACTTTTTGGATGACAAAAACCATTCTCTGAAAATCTTGAGTGGATTTCTCTTTAAGATATCTTTAAAAAGCTGGGCATCAGTGGCTCACACCTGTAATTCTAGCTACTTGGGAGGCAGAGATCAGGAGGATTGCAGTTTGAAGCCAGCCCGGGCAAACAGTTTGTGAGTCCCTATCTCAGAAAAACCCACTGCAAAAAAGGGCTGGTGGAGTGGCTCAAGATGTAGGCTCTGAGTTCAAACTCCAGTACCAAAAAAAAAAAAAAAAAACTTAAAAAAATGTTTTGGAGCTTCATAAATATTTTATAGAGAAAATTATTAAAAGATTGAAGTTTATAAACCTAAAAGTCAATAGGAGTTGGCTATGTCAACATGGTCTGGAGTGATTTGCATTTCACTTTGTCTTCTTTCCTATAACCTTCTCATTTTCTACAATGTATACAATAGAAAGGGAAGGTGTTTAAAAACACTTACTATATTTATATCATTTCCATACAAAGCTTCCACATTTGATGTCAAATCAGAATATAACCACAAAATCAAAAGAAAGATTTTTGCATCAAGCTAAGTGGAATCATATGAATTGTGGTTAAAAAAAGCATTTTATTAACTGTCTTTGTGTGTGACTTAGTGAGTGAAAACAGCAGCAGTGCCTGCCCTAAGGGGCAGAGTAGAAAATGTGGGCGATGCTCTGCCACTCACCAACTTTGTGATCTTAACCAAACTACTTAACATCTCCTCAGCTCAGTTTCCACATATGTAAAATAAAGATTTCAGACTAATTTTGTCCAGAAAAATACCAGCACTAGCAATCTGAATAAACACTGAAAAAACAGATAAACTAAACTGTATTTATACTTTCTGTAAGCAAAATGGTAAATACATCTTAAAGAGTTGCGAATCCAGAGGAAATTGGCTTGCATCTTGTTGAGGTAATTACCACCACATTGCCATCACGCTTTCACCATTGCTTCAAGGTTTGTAAATGAAGACTCAGAGTTTAGCAGAGAAAATGAAGGGAGTTCAAAGTGAAGGGAAAATTCCATCCTCCTTGACTAGCTCTCCTATGGTTCTCAGATTTCAAATCTGGGACCCTTCAGAAGAAGCAGTCCAACCAACTGTAGCTGCCACGAGGGTACAAAGTGAAAGAGGAAACCTCTAAGATAATTAAGGTTTTAATCAACACTGACTAGATTTAATTCACATTTCAAACTGTGCTTTGAAGTAAACAAGTAATATGGCAGGAAATCTGAGTCTATTCCCCCCATGTCACTCTGTCACTAACCACTTGTGTGACATTGTACAAATCACTTAATTTCCTTGGGCATTATCAATTTTAAAAAAGGCAGGGTGGATATCTTACTTGTCTACAAACAGGAGGCTGGACCACATACTCTCTTGAGGGCTCTCAATCCAAAGAGCTGATGCAAGCAAGAGAGCAGAGCAATAGCTTAAGACCTCTTAAGTGATCTTCATGATGAAATTGCCAGTGATCAATTTCAATTTTTTTCTTAATTTTCTAAAGTAGTTTTTCCTGCCAGACCAAATTCAATATACTTAGCTAGGGAGTCTAAAACACACATAAGCTATGGCTGTTCTAATTCTTCTTTTGGCAAAGTATTTACCTTAAGAAGCATTTAGACTTTAGATGAAACTGCTTGGCCAGGAGGTGGTAGAGGGGAGAATCTTTGATTATTATAATGGAATCCAGCGGCAAAGACATAACGAACCTTCCCCTCTCCATCCAGAGCTGATACAGCACTCAGTTTAGTTGGCCATTGCCAGCCCAGGGCTCTGGATGTAATGCCAAATGATGGTGGTTTGATTAATCACCAGCCTGGAATTAATGGGCAGCAAGGATTCCATGTCAGCAATTTATAAGAACTTGGTTACTCATATGTTGAGGCACCATGGTCCTGATAAAGTAGGCTATGCCATTCCTGAGAAGATGGCATTTTCTTCTGCTAGTAAGTGACCATGAGTGTTGCCTTTCATTCTGTTTAGTTTAGTTCTGCATCTTATTCTATACAGAAAAATCTATCCTAGTCTATTGCCTCATTCTAAAAGCCCCCAAATCCTACATTTGTCCTATCAATATCATAAACTTTTATATTGTTGATTAGGATTACATGGCTACAAGAGGAATTTGAAAGTCATTAACCAGTAGGGAAGTTTATCTCACATTATTTAGCAACCTAAATGTCTCGAAATTGCAAAATTTTTATGGTACAACCACAAGACAGAAAATTATGTAATCAAAAGTGCTTCTGTGTGAATATAACTTGGGGACAGGTTCACAGTATATTATTAAGTTTAAAAGGCAGGATATGAAAATATACACAATATAATGCTAATCATGTAAAAGCAAAGATAAAGATACACTGGAACAGACAAAAAGAAAAAAATAACCTAGAAGGATGTCCTCCAAAATGTTAACAGTGGTTAGCTCTGAAATATAATTACAGTAGTCTTAAGTGTTCTTCTTTATCCTTTTTGATATTCTTGGATTCTCTGGAATGATGCAATCCAAGTTTCATTATAATTAAAACTGCAAAACAAACTTTTAAAAGTACTTTTTATCAAAGTAAAGTGAATTTATGAAAAAGTCTCCTAGTATACATTAAGATAATAGTTAAAATGAAAAAGGATATCCTACCCAGACAGAAGCCCGAGAGAAGAACATCAGGACCAATATAATGACAAAATACCAAAGCAGGAAGCTCCCTACTGCCCCACAGGAGTCATCCTTCTGGCATTCATAATCCTGACTTGGAATGCTAAAACTTAATGGTATGGGGGTAGGCTCTACCCCCCAAAATAAAGAAAAAAGGTCTCCCATGATGGTTTCTTGCTTAGAAAATAAAACATGCTCAAACAGATGAAGGTGACTGGGAAGTATTTCTCTCCATGATCTATGACAACTTCCCTGGCAACCTATTATGACATACACTTAAGCAACTGTTACAAGAACGGATAAACACTTCCTGGATTTCTAAGATTTTAGAAGATTTACTCAAGTTATTTCTATAAAAGTTTATAGTACTTCCTACCCCATACTCAATATGGTTCATTCTGCCTCAGTCTTTTCTTCCTTGAAACTTGTATATATTTCCATACCTTTAAATCTTAAGTGTTTAAGGTATTGCTCATTTTTAATAAGTCTCTTCTCTATGTTTCATAGCATTGTAGATTAACACACACAATGCTAATGTATTACAGACTGAACTTTGTTCCCCCAAATTCAAATGTTGAAGTCCCAACCAATTTACTGTCTTTGGAAATAGGGCCTTTAAAGAGGTAATGAAAGTTCAATCAGGTCACAAGGGTTAAGTCCTAATCCAATATAACTAGTGTCCTCATAAGAAAAGGAAAAAGGAAAAGACACCAAGGACTCACCAGTACAGAAAAAAAAGCCATAAGAGAACACAAGATGAGAATGCTGCCTGCCAGAAGAAACCAACCCTGCTGATACCTTGGACTCCAAACTGTAAAAAGAAAAAACAAAAATATATTTGTTGTTTAAACTACCATCTGTGATTTTGGGGATGGAAGGGGCACCCCGTGGTCTGTGATATTTTGTTATGGTAGCCGTAATACAGAATGGCAACTATCAAATTTGGTTGGTCGTGTTCTTTTTTAAGCCTTGAATAAATTCACAGTAGCAAAGACATTACATTACGAGGAAGAAATATATACATACCTGTTAAGAATTACATCAAATGTACATATTGTTTTCAGAAAATAAACTGGGGGAGGTGGGAACCTGACACTCTAATTTTGGCTGTTCATTAAGATGAACCCTTTTGGGCTGGGGGCAAATGCAAGGCCCTGAGTTCAAATCTCAGTACTACCCCCCCCAAAAAGATGATCCTTTTTTCTTTGACCAAATTTCAAGTTAATTTCTAAATGTACAACTTTAGAGGTAAACATTGCTAGGGCAATCTAAAAGTGATTAAAAAAAAACTCACTTAAAATCAGTTAAATCTTTAAAGAACATAACATACCTGCTGATTTTCATATGCGGTACCACCAATACACCTTTTTTTCTTACCTTGGAATCATTTTAGGAAAAATTTTAGTTATTGGTAGTACATGATGAAACAACCCACTGGCTCATGTTTTCATTAAGGGTGACACCTCTCCCTACGCAGGAGTCCCCAGGCCCCACAGTACAGTCACCACCTCCAGGAAGACTGCCTGTAGCTGGGGTTCCCTGTTTGTATTTGTAAAGTAAAACCAAACCCAACTCCCAGATGAACCTTTTCCTCAGAATTAGAAGTTCTTTCAGTAATATTCAGGGGGGAAAGTTTTTTTCCTTTTTTAATCTGAAAACTAACAACTTCAATTTAAAAAAAAATGTTTTTTCTTATTACTGCTGCACCTTCACTACATATTTAAGAATCTGCATCGGGCCACCAGAACAATTGGGGGAAAATAAATATATTTTAACAAAGAGGAAAGAAATGCTTTGTCATTACTGATGGTGTCTATACACACCAAGCACGCTGTATCCTACAAATTAGACATTAAATAAAATCTGCTACAAATGTGAGTCCGCCAAGACCCTAAAGAAGCTAAAATTCTATTCACACATACAAAACCCTGCATGTTATCGTCATTACTTTTTACTGCGGTTCAGAACCTGGTCTGAATTTTGCTGCTCAGCTTTCTCTCCACAGCTGAGTAGGAGCCTCAAATCCGAGGGCGTTTCCCTGGTAACGTTCGGCCCTCAAGTTCTCGCGAGAAAAGAAGGCCCGGTTCTTCCGGTAACTGTAGCCCCACGCGCCCGCCCGCCAGCCTTAGCGCGCGACTTCGCGCAGGCGCAGTAGAGAGTGGCGCGAGCCCGCGGCTTCCTGCCGAAGAATATGGTGCGTTTTCGGGATGGTCTTTGTGCTACCTGGATGTGGAGTCCCCGCGGACTTTGAGTTCTGAGACTACTGATCTGTCCCGGGTTCACGCGAGGGAGGATGTGGCCGTGCGTCCCGCCACTTGTAGTGGGAGGGCGAAAAGAATCAATAAGGGTACTGAAATTTGTGCTGAGGGAGCCAGGGAGGGAAGCCCTCCGGCCGGGGCGTTTTGACCCGCGACTGGATGGCAGGATACAACGCCCCGTGTCTCCCACAGGGTTTCCCCTGGCCAGTGATGGCTGAGCTGAGTCTAGCAAAACAAAGGAAATATAAATCCCAAAGTGCCCAAGCTGAGTGCACACTTGACGCTCTTCCTCGTGTTCTCTTCACACCACGGTGCCGGCCCTAAATCTTCCTCCCGTATCAGCACGGAAAACGGGGACCCCTGCCTCATGCCAGGTCGAATGCAGGGTGCTTTAGGGTCAGCCACAGAAATGGCTTCTGCGTAAGAACGAAGAGCCTTTATGATTTATAGGACATAAGGACTCTTTCCTCCCAAAACTTGGTATTTTGAGTTTCTTAAACTAACCTTCGAGGGTCCTTGTGACACACAACAAAAACAAAACGGAGTATTTGCAGACACAACAACCATCCCTTAAACTACAGTATAAGAAGTTTTTATTTATTGGAAGCATTAAAATGTTCTCTTGGGGAAATACAAGTTTTCTGTTGATTTCTCCATGACGCCAAAGAAGATGTAATTTAGGCTTCCCTTTTTCCTGTACTAATATTAAAATGGAAAAAAAATTAGAGATTTTAAGATGAGGGAAAGTGTGTGCAGTTTTTACTTTATAAAGGACACAACATTTTTTATTAAGAGTAGTTTCTTTTGACTAATTTCTGTACTTTTTGCTTTTGAATAGATGCAAGGAGAGGCAAGCCCTAGTGCTTCCCTTATTGACAGAACCATCAAGATGAGAAAAGAAACAGAAGCTAGGAAAGTGGTTTTAGCCTGGGGACTCCTAAACGTATCTGTGGCTGGAATGATATATACTGAAATGTAAGTTAATCAGTTTAAAAAAAAAAAGGTGAAACATTTAAGCAGCCAGTGGCTGGTTCCATAGCTTTTTGGTTTTGTTTTGATTTTTTTTTTTTTAAGAAGTTTATTGAAAAGTCGTCTTAATTTTTTCAGGACCGGAAAATTGATTAGTTCATACTATAATGTGACATACTGGCCCCTCTGGTATATTGGTAAGTAGTTTTCACTGTAATTTAGATTTATACCAATGAAAAACTTGCTTGCAGGTTTAATTCAACTTAGTATTCATTCCTTCATTCAGCAAATATTGACTTACTACTGTGTTCCCCAAACTGGGAATACAGCATTGAGGGAGGGAGGTAAAAACCCTCTTGTGGAAGGAACATTTTAGTAGAGAGATAATCAAGTTAATAAGTAACAGTGTCAGGTAATAATTATGAGTCCTTTGAAGAAAAAAAAAGTTTGAGGATGATGAGACTTAGACACTCCTGAAATGTCCTCACCCTTTTTTATCATTCAGGAGCAGCCCAGATTTCTACTCCCATGGATGCCTCCCTTAGTTTCCTCAGTCCTTCCTCATCTATCTGTTCTTCCATAGTAGTTAGGTAGAAAGAGTCCTTATGGATGTTAAAGTAACTTTCATAGTCTGTACACATTAAAGTCTGTTACAGAAGCTGGTATGGCAAGTAGAAGAGCAAGTTTGAGGAATCTGCAGGCCTAAGTTAGAATCATGACTCGCTAACAAGCTGGGTACTCTTCTAAAATTCACTTGGCTTTATGATGGTTAATTTATCTTTAAAATGAAGGTAAAAAAATATTTATTGTACAAGGTTGTAAGGATTAGTGATAGTTTAAGACTTCCTAGTAAATGCCCTCCACCTAATAGACATTTACTCAATGGTTGCTGTTGTGAAGAATAAGAAAGTAGTTTTCAATTTTTGTTGTGGATTTCCTATTATGGAGGATTTTTCCCTACCAATATATGCTCACCGCCACTCCACCTCAGCTACTCAGGATCCATCCCAGTACCTCTACCCTTTTTTAAAATTATGTTGTTGTTCTCTTCCAGAACTTGCCCTTGCATCTCTCTTCAGCCTTAATGCCTTATTTGACTTTTGGAGATACTTCAAATACACTGTGGCACCAACAAGTCTGGTTGTTAGTCCTGGACAGCAAACTCTTTTAGGTTTGAAAACAACTAGTAAGTGTTTTATATGTCTTGTAAAGGTGGGAAGAAGTTTGGCAGCAAATTTTTCTTAATTTAATTTCCCCCTTTCATAGACTTGAAGGGACTTTTAAGGCCACCTGGTTCAACTGCATTAAGCAGATCTATAGAATTGTCTTAAGACCAGTGATTTTCATTGTTATCTGTATACATTGAGTGGAGCTAGCATTCAGCAACCTCATGGAAGTCTATTTTGTTGCTCAGTTAAAATTAAATGACTTAACTCTTGCTACATTGAAGCCAATTTCTTTTGAACTCTGTGGAAATGGTGAACAAATAACATGTTCTTTAGTAATAATATGTCATATAACTTAATAACCAAGTCTTTTTGTTACTTTCTTTTTTCCTAAAGAAAAAGACTGAGTTCCTTAAATCTGTTTAATAAATATTTACACTGGAGGAGGAGGATTTTAGGTCCAGGCCATCCTGGGCTACATAGGGAGACCCTGCCTCAAAAAAGAATTTTTAAGCATATGTATATTGTATGTGTGTATATATAAAATTGTTTTTTTCTTTTCCTTCTAGTGGTACAGACTACTACTACACATGATCTGGCAGCTACCCAAATCCCTGCCTCCCCACCTTCTCCTTCTATTCAGGGTCAGAGTGTGTTGAGTTACAGCCCATCTCGTTCACCCAGTACCAGTCCCAAGTTCACCACCAGCTGTATGACTGGATACAGCCCTCAACTGCAAGGTCTGTCCTCAGGTGGCAGTGGTTCTTATAGCCCTGGAGTGACCTACTCACCAGTTAGTGGTTATAATAAGGTAATGACTCTTTTCTATTGACCATCACATTATTTTAGAATTAGGAGGTACTTTGAAAATCATCCAGTGAGTCAGATTTTCTCATTTAATTGATGGGGAAACAGAAACAGTGGGTAAATTGACTTTCCCAAAAGCCTCATTTAAGAGCCAACAATAGAACTCAAATTTCTTGGCACCTAGTCAGAAGTTCTTTAAACAACATCATAAAGTAAAAGAGGAAAAAAATTAATATTTGTACCAATAATGAAATGTGAAGTTCACCATCTATAAGTTGAAACTGGTAATTTTTTACTTCAGTTTCTTTTGTTCATGTTTTTCTTTTTTGCTTCTTTTGTTTGTTTTTTTTTGTGGTACTGGGATTTGAACTCAGAGTCTCATACTTGCTAGGTAGATGCTCTACCACTCGAGCCATGCCTCCAGTGCTTTTTGCTTTGGTTATTTTTGAGATACTTGCTTTTTGCCCTGGCAGTACCCCAGTACTGTAAAAAGAAAAGAAAAGAAAGAAAAATGATAAATGCAAAGGTACAACATTGCATGAATCTTGAAAACATTAGGCTAAATGCTAAAAGGAGGAAGCCAGTCATGAAGACACATATTATACGATTCCATTTGCATAAAATATCCAGATTAGGCAGAGTTATGGAGACAGATAAATTAAGAAAGAAGAGGGGAAGCAGGGTTTTTAGGGGAGAAGGAACAAGAGGTTCTAAAATTAGATTGTAGTGGTGGTTGTACTCTAAGATTATACTAAAACACATTGAATTGTATACTTTAAAAGGATATGTTGTATGATATGTGTATATAATATGTGTATTGTATGTGTATATGATATGTGTATATGATATTACACATATCATTAATGATTAATGAGAAAGCAAATATAAGTGAGCTGTTAATCTGTTTCTGGGAGGGAAAATACAATAAAATAGACAAATTTATCAAAACAAGGGAAAAAAGACTTAAGGACAAATTGAAAATGGTGGTTTAGAAAAGGACAAAGAGAAATTTAAGATGTAAATGGATTACAGTTTTTTGGTAATAACTTGTCTATGCTACTGCCATAAAGTTTTCATATTTCTGTGGTATTGCTTATTTATGCTAATCTCTGCTCAAAATATCCTTATCATTCTTGGTTTTCTCTTATGATGAAACATAACATAAAGTCACCATATTAGCCTGTAATCATAGCTATTTGGAAGGCAGAGATCAGGAGGATAATGGTTTGAAGCCAGCCTGGGCAAACAGTTCTTGAGACCCTATGTCAAAAAATCCTTCACAAAACAGGGCTGGTGGGATGGCTCAAGTCTGTAGGCCCTGAGTGCAAATCCCAGTATCAAAAAAAAAAAAGTTGTCCATATTAACCAATTTTAACTGTATAGTTCTGTATCCTTAAGTACATTCAAATTGCTGTGTAGCTGTCACTATCATCCAGCCCCAGAACTTTTTCATCTGCCCAATCTGAAACTCCATACCCATTGAACAGTAACTCCCTATTCTCCCCCAGCCCCTGCAACCACCATTCTGCTTTCTATGAATTTTAACTACTCTAGGTACCTCATCTAAGTGGAGTCATAGGGTATTTACTGGCTTATTTCATTAGCTTGTCCTCTAGTTCATCTGTGTTGTAGACTGTTAGAATTTTGGTCCTTTTAAAGGCTGCCTAATATTCCATTGTATGTAAATGCCACATTTTGCTTATCCATACATATGTTGAGGGACGCTTAGGTTGTTTCGACTTTGGGCTTTTTGTAAATAATGAATGCCTTAGTGAACATGGTTACACAAATACCATGAGTTCCTCCTTTCAGTTCTTTTGGATATGTATCAAGAAGTGGGATTGGTGAGTCATGCCAATGCTTTTTTTTTTTTTGCCCGGGCTTGCTTTGAACCATGATCCTCCTGACCTCTCCCTCCTGAGCTCCTGAGTAGCTGTGATTACAGGTGTGAGCCAGCAGCACCTTCAGTATCTTGAAGTCATATTTGGTATCATTATTCAATTAGATCCAATAGGGCTTTCAAAATCCTTTTCATAATTATTTATAAACTGTAAAATCCCAAGATTGAGCTTTAAAAGTATATAAAGACAATATGAAAAAAATACATTACTAAGAAATATAAAAGATACTAAATGAAAAGAGAACATTTTCTTGAATAAAAAGATATTTGTTAGGCCCAACTGGAGTGGGAAGGAGAGGCAAGAGAGGATAATGAGGAGAGTGGTTGTGTGTGAATGTGACCAAAGTACATTCTATACGTGTATGAAAATGTCATAAGGAACCCATTATTTTGTACAAATTGACATATAGTAAGAAAAAAGAAAAAAGAAGCCAGGCGCCGGTGGCTCACGCCTATAATCCTAACTACTCAGGAAGTAGAGATCAGGAGGATCATGGTTCAAAGCCAGCCTGGGCAAATAGTTCACAAGACCCTACCTCAAAAAACCTTTCACAAAAATAGGACTGGTGGAATGGCTCAAGGTGAAGACCCTGAGTTCAAGCCCCACTACTGCAAAAAAAAAAAGAAGATATTTAAAAGATACTTGTTGCAAAGCTTTTCTTCCTGCATTAAGGTATAAGATGTATGTAATTCCAGTCTTTTCCTATCCACTTTTTTTTGTGGTAAATTCATGAGGGCTACTCATTGATTTTATTTTAATTTTAATTTTTTTATTATTCATATGTGCATACAATGCTTAGGTCATTTCTCACCCCTGCCCCCACCCCCTCCCTTACCATCCACCATGCCTCCTCCCTCTCCCCCCCACCCCTCGATACCCGGCAGAAACTATTTTGCCCTTATCTCTAATTTTGTTGAAGAGAGAGTATAAGCAATAATAGGAAGGAACAAGGGTTTTTGCTAGTTGAGATAAAGATAGCTATACAGGGAGTTGACTCACATTAATTTTTTGTGCATGTGTGTTACCTTCTAGGTTAATTCTTTTGGATCTAACCTTTTCTCTAGTTCCTGGTCCCCTTCTCCTATTGGCCTCAGTTGCTTTTAAGGTATCTGCTTTAGTTTCTCTGCATTAAGGGCAACAAATGCTAGCTAATTTTTTAGGTGTCTTACCTATCCTCACACCTCCCTTGTGTGCTCTCACTTTTATCATGTGCTCAAAGTCCAATCCCCTTGTTGTGTTTGCCCTTGATCTAATGTCCGCATATGAGGGAAAACATAGGATTTTTGGTCTTTTGGGCCAGGCTAACCTCACTCAGAGTGATGTTCTCCAGTTCCATCCATTTACCAGCGAATGATAACATTTCGTTCTTCTTCGTGGCTGCATAAAATTCCATTGTGTATAAATACCACATTTTCTTAATCCATTCATCAGTAGTGGGGCATCTTGGCTGTTTCCATAACTTGGCTATTGTGAATAGTGCTGCAATAAACATGGGTGTGCAGGTGCCTCTGGAGTAACCTGTGTCACAGTCTTTTGGGTATATCCCCAAGAGTGGTATTGCTGGATCAAATGGTAGATCAATGTTTAGCTTTTTAAGTAGCCTCCAAATTTTTTTCCAGAGTAGTTGTACTAGTTTACATTCCCACCAGCGGTGTAAGAGGGTTCCTTCCCCCCCCAAATTCTCGCCAACATCTGTTGGTGGTGTTGCTGATGATGGCTATTCTAATGGGGTGAGGTGGAATCTTAAGTGTGGTTTTAATTTGCATTTCCTTTATTGCTAGAGAGATGGTGAGCATTTTTTCGTGTGTTTTTTGGCCATTTGAATTTCTTCTCTTGAGAAAGTTCTGTTTAGTTCACTTGCCCATTTATTGGTTCATTAATTTTGGGAGAATTTAGTTTTTTAAGTTCCCTATATATTCTGGTTATCAGTCCTTTTTTTGTGTAGCTGGCAAATATTTTTCTCCCACTCTGTGGGTGTTCTCTTCAGTTTAGAGACCATTTCTTTTGATGAGCAGAAGCTTTTTAGTTTTATGAAGTCCCATTTATCTATGCTATCTCTTAGTTGCTGTGCTGCTGGCGTTCCATTGAGAAAGTTCTTACCTATACCTACTAACTCCAGAGTATTTCCTACTCTTTCCTGTATCAACTTTAGAGTTTGTGGTCTGATATTAATTAAGATCCTTAATCCATTTTGAGTTAATACTGATATAGGGTGATATACATTGAACTCATTGATTTTAAAGTTAATATGGAAAAATAATGAGCCAACAAAGATCTTTTTCTTTGGGTGGTACTGGGGTTTAAACTCAGGGACTTACACTTGCTAGGCAGGTGCTTTGCCACTTGAGTCACTCTGCTAGCCCTTTAAATTCTCTTCTAATAGGAATATAACTTAATAACATTTCCAATTATTAGTTGGGAATATGTATAAAAAATGGTCATATGCTTTGGCCCAATAATTTCAGTTCAAGGAATCTGCCCTAAAGAAAATCACAAGAAATTCAAGCAAAGATTTATGTACAACAGTGCTTATCATAACATGTATAGTAGCCAAAAATTTTAAAACTCCAAGTAAGAGAATATAAAAATAAAGGATGATATATTTGTATATTGAACTATTATATAGCCAGTAAGGATAATATGTATAAAAGATTTTTACAGGAAATGCTTGGTTAACTTTTCAAAGCTAAATAATATTGTCTCAAAGCTATGTACATTTTAAAGATCGAAAAATGCACAAAATATGGAAAAGGATTAAATTATCTCTGGTGGCTAGGTTGTAAATGTTGCCTTTTTTATACTTTATGAATTTTTTGAAATATTCATGTTACTTTTTTAATAGACTTTTTTTAAGAGCAATTTTAGGTTTGCAGCAAAATTTAGAGGAAGTAAAAAAAAAAAAAATTTAGAGGAAGGTGGAGATTTCCCATAATCCCCCATCCCACACACATGTAGCCTCCTTCATTATCAATATACCCCATCAGGAGTGGTAATTTATTACAGTTGATGAACCTGCGACCACACATCATTGTTACTCAAAGACCATAGTTTACATTAGCATTCACTCTGGGTATTGTACGTTCTGTGGATTTGGACAAATATATAACAACATGAACCCATCATTAATAGCATTGAGTAGAATTTTAAAAATGCCTTGTGCTGTACATATTCATCTTTCCCTCCAGATTTCTTTGCAACCACTGAACTACTTACTCCATTTTGCCTTTTCCAGAATGTCATTTAGTTGAAATCAGACAAATAAAACCTTTCACATTGGCTTCTTTTCGTTAGCAATATGCATTTAAGTTGCCTCCATGGATTTTCATAGCTTGATAGCTTGTTTGTTTTTAGCACTGAGTAATACTCCCTTTCCTTAATGGACTGCAAATTAGTCACCCCTTCACCTTCTGAAGTTGCATCTGTGTTTTGGCAATTATGGATAAAGCTGCTGTAAACATTTGTGTACAAGTGTCTGTGTGGACATAAGTTTTCAACAACTTATGAAAATATGAAAGAGCACAATTACTGGATAGTACGGTAAAAGAACGTCTAGTTTTGTAAGAAACCATCTCACTGTTGGAAAGTGGCTGTACTATTTTTCATTCCCACCAGTAATAAGTGAGTTTCTGCTACTGCACAACCTCACTAGCTTTTGGTAGTGTCACTCATCTGGATTTTGATCACCATACTAGGTACACACTTTTAAGTCAAAAACAAAAATAAATTTCAACTAAGAGAAAATAAAACCAAGTTCTTCTATTTTGTATAGTTGGCGAGTTTTAGTCCCTCTCCTTCTTCTCCATACCCTACCACTGTTGGCCCAGTGGAGAGCAGTGGATTGAGGTCTCGCTACCGTTGTTCACCCACCATCTATAACTCACCTACTGACAAAGAGGACTACATGACAGACCTACGGACTTTGGACACTTTTCTTAGAAGTGAAGAAGAGAAGCAGCATAGAGTTAAGCTGGGTACACATATTTTATTTATAACTAATGTACATATTTTTGTTGTCACTTTACATAATCATTAACCTATTATATCATTTTGATACCCATATTATATGTCTCTTTTACTAATGCACCTTTTATAGCTTAGGAGACAAACACATTTGGTATTATTTTATGTGTAAAATAATTTTATAGTTAGAATTAACTACAAATGTAAGAAGTAAAATACAGCTGATCTAAGAAATTTTGAATCTTTCATCTAAGTAAGATTAAAAATCTTTACATATAATATAACTTACAATTTTTGTTTAAAATTGAGGCTACAAAATAACATCTTGAAGTGGCACATAGCAAAGTTTAGTTTAATGATAGTTATCTCTTTTCAGGGAGACCTTTGAAGGCTGGTGTGGCAGGGCAAGATGAGGAAAGAGCACATATTTACCCTAAAAGTGCCACTGTTTTTAGGACATTTCAAAATTTGTCTTTTCGTATTTCCTTGAAGTCTGTAGTTTACCTTGGGAAATAGTGTTAGCAAGTCTTAATCTATTTGGGGTGGATTTGATTATTACAAAGTCAATTATTTGAAACCAAATTAGGTTATTGAACTGAGTAATGATTTTTTCCCCCCTCAGGAACTTTCACAGGAAGCACATTAGGTGTGAAAGTGTGGCCATGGTGAGAAAGCCAAGTTATTGGACCATGGCTCTTCGTGTCGCTTGAAATCTCCCTAGGGATTTTTAATTTAATTCTGCCTGAAAGTACCACAAATGTCAAAGAAACAAATCAATACTATCTTATTATTTTTAGAACATGCTTTTTCTTTAATTTTGAAATATTTCAAGTCTACTGAGGACTATATAGAGTGTAATACAAAGAACAACCTTTACAAATCCTTGTGATTTTAAAACTTCATTTTTTTTTGACCCAAAGAAATTATTTAGAAGAATTATTGTTGATGTTTGGAAATGTTATTTGGTGTTGCTTTTAAATTTAAAGCCAAAAAGGCCTGATTGTCTTATTTTCCTGAGTTAATTGTACTGTGTTTATAGATTCTGATCTGTGTGTTCTGTTTTTCTGTCTTTTTATGGGGGGTTGTTTTTGGTTTTTAAAGTTTTTTTGATACTTGCTTTGAGGCTTGCTTTATGATCACTTTTTCATAAATGGTTTTGGGTATATTGAAAAGAATGCATAGTCTCTAAATTTTGGTCTATATATTTGTCCACTGACCTAAGGTTCTTGAATATGTTCTTAAATTCTTTATCTTACTAATTTTTATCTGTTTGATCTACCATTTATTAGAAAGTGTGCCAAACGCTTTCACTGATTGTCTCCTATTAAATATTTCTCCTGTCATATGCTAAATATATGTGAGATTATGCTAAGTGTTTATAAATTCAAAATAGTTAATATTCTGGTGAATTATGTCTTCTAGTTTTATCTCTTTTTGTCTTCAAGTCTATTGCTTTTGAATAGTACTTTCCTGGTATATATATCTACATCCCCCTCTACTTTTCATCCATCTGTGCTTTTAGATTTTAGGTAATAAAATATTTTGTTCAAATTAATTCATAAATAATAACTTTTATGGAAACCTACTCTCAGACTATATAAATATCCTATTCCTTATCAAACTTTGACACCACGTTTTAAGTTTTTGTGGTATTAGGGGTCAAACTCAGGTCGTAGTTTGTACTAGGCAAGCATTGTACCGCTGAAGTACATCCCTAGCTCTTGTTCTTTTTTTTGAGACAGGGTCTTGCATGTAGACCAGTCTGGCCTTGAACTTGAGGGCCAGAGTTACAGGTATGCACCACTCTCACCTGGCTACTTTTAACATCTTTTAAAGATTTATTTCAAAATTATTACTGTGTTATGAGGACTTTCTAATTCTGTCATTCCATCTATAATCCTCTTAACCTTTTAAAAATATTTTTATTGTAAAAATTGCTTAAGATTTACCATTTTGACCTTTTTTAAGTGTAAAATTCCTTTTGTGGGGATGTACTCAGTAGATCAAGGGCTGAGAATGTACTTGAGTTCTTGCCTGGCATTCACAAGGCCCTGGGTTTGATCCCAGCACAGCAAGTAAATACCTTTCCCTTTGTTTTCCCATTCCTCAGCAGCCTTACCACCATCTCCCAGCCCCATCCCTCTGTAATCTATGAACAAACATGCCTGAATGGGTTAACGCAGTGATGGCTGCAAAACTAAAGCTTTCAAACACTTTTAGTTCTTCTGCATTTAATAGTTTGACTTTCTTCTCCAAAGAACAGCCTTCTGTCATATCTCTCAGCCCAGTTTGTTTTCTGTCACTTTGGAATCATGAGCAGCTCTTTCTTTAGTTGTGTCTAAATAAAGTGTTATTTAACTCATTTGGTTCTTTTCAAATATGCCTGGATTATAAAACCCAGGCATCTTGTTTTGTTTCCAATTTTTCTATCTCACAAACTTTAAAAAAAATAGTCTGTCCAACAGTTCAGTTATTTAAAGTTCTTAGAGGCTAAATGCAGACACTTTTGTCTTGCTATTCCGTATGTGATTTTGTTTGTTTTGGTAAACAAAATCTTCATTCTCAACAGAGTTTTATCAGTGCTTTGTTTGTCTTGGCAAGCTGGATGGGAGCCTTGTCTCAACCCAGCTGTTTTGTATTTGCCTCTTTTAAATGCCCAAGGAGTATCATTGATCTTGAGCTAAATTAATTTCTAGGCTTGGATATTCCTGGACCTCACAGATAGAATAATTGGGAACTTTAAACTCATGTGAAGGTGAATGTAAATCTCGGGGTTTATTTATTTATTTATTTATTTATTTTTTTATTTATTTATTTATTTTAAATCTCTCAACAGCCTAAGACAGATAAGCTTCCTTCAGCCTCTGGTGCCAAAGGACAAAAAAAATTTTTTTTTCTGAAGAACTGAGAATGTGGCCCTTTGAGATTCCCAGCTCTATGCTGGGAACAAGGAAATAATATGGTTGGGAGAAAGGCTTTACTCCAACTCTCTACCTCTCCTGGGCCCAAGCAAGTCCTTATCTCCAGTTTCCATTTGAACGCTGAAAGCCAAGCTGGTAGATATCTCAGGGCTGACAAAAATTCTCTGGAGCTGCCACAGCATCAACTCCCTGTTTGATGTTGCCTCTGATTTTCATTTCCCTCTTCATTTTTAGTCATTGGCTATTCATGTTCTTACTTTTTTGCAAGCTCCACAGTTCATTCATTTAAAACAATGCGTTTTATTCGTCCATAGTACCTGTTTTAGGTTACACGGTTTGCTCTGTTGCCATATTTCCAAATGACTTTTTACTTTGGTTCTTAAAACTTTGAGGTTCACTAGCTTACAAACGTAAGCTATTTTGGTGAGAGTGGTCATCAAAGAAAGGCCCTATTTGTCCCTTCTTAAGTTTCTTTGGCTAATGTACAACAGGTATTAAAACTTCTTGTTTCTATTCATTATCTAAAGTCAGTCTTCACTGACATTTTTTTAGGTTGGAGATTTTCACAGAAAGCTTCATCTTTCTGAAAGCATTAATCATTAAAACAATTATTCCACATAGGATGACTTTATTAGGTATCATGACCATGTTTCTTATCTTCCTATTCCCTATTGATTCCATCATATATGTTGGTTTACAACCTCTTTTTTGTGACAGTAATTCATTCCTGTAAATCAGTTTTGTCTTAAGTCTTACTTGGAAATTTACATAAGTAATTTTTATGCCAGCATGAAACCTACTGCATTCACCAAAGCACAAGAGACTGACTAACCTTCCAGGTTTTGGTGAAGTGAAATATTGTCATGTAGCCCTTTCATGATTTCTTAACCTTTCTACCTGTAAACATCACAAGAAACCGTTTTGCTTGTGATTTTTGTGTGCAGGTATAAGGTATCAATTGATTTTTCTAACATCTATTAAATTCTGAAAAAATAAGTTTTTCATAAGTAAACTTGTTGAAAACTTGCTTATTTGGGCACTTATTTGGGAAATAAAAAGAGCTCACCTTTTTTTCAAGATAGAGGTGGAGGTCTTGGTAAAAATAGATTCCTAAATGCCACTTTTTTATATTTCCTGAGAGTTAATTTATAAATTTATAAATGTAAAGTACAGATGATCTTTTAATCAGCATAGGAATTACTACAAGCTAGTAAATCAAACATAGTTAGTGCAGCCTATAGCCCAGAGAGAGGTCTATTAACAGGAGGCTGTGGTTACTCCATTCAGAAGGAGCTTCTAACAGTTCAGCCGCACAGCTTGCTTTGCCCACTTATTCCTGAAGAAGTTAGTTTCTCACTGAATCACTTAAAAGTCTTAAAGGATGAAACAAGCTTAATTTTACAAAAAAAATATTGTAAAAAAAAAATGTTTTCAAACACTTAAAATTCTTAGGACTCTTAAGTTGATACTGCTCAGAAAATGTTCTTTTTTTTTTTTTATCACAAAGAATCCATGCTCTCTAAAAAGAAAATAATGTTGAGAAGGGGGAGAGAGATGCTGGTGAGAGATAGCTTCACTCCTTGTGTGCTGTTGCCTACTCGCTAGGTAACTCAGCATCTATGGGTTACCATCCGATGAAAGAATTACCACAACAGACTATATTGTTTCTATTCATGATTTTAGGGAGCCCAGATTCTACCTCTCCTTCTTCCAGCCCAACTTTCTGGAACTACAGTCGTTCTGTAGGGGATTACGCACAGACTTTAAAGAAGTTTCAGTATCAGCTTGCCTGTAGGTCTCAGGCCCCATGTGCTAACAAAGATGAAGCTGATCTTACTTCTAAACAGGCTGCAGAGGAGGTAAATGGAAAATAAAAATGACTTAGTATTTATGATTTTCAGATTGCTACAAAGTATTCTACCCCTGAAATTTTTTTTCTATAATCTCTACTTTTACTGCATAGAAATACAAATCTGTATTAACAGTGGAAAAGCATGTGTCTTACTTTGTGTATCTAAATTAAATGATATTGTACATTTTACGTATAATTAACATTAGTGTCCTGCCTAAAATATTTTTCTACATTAATTATTTTAAAGGCTTTCAAGCATCTAATTTTATTTAATAGATACCAGACTCTTGCTTGTAAAATACATTTAGATTAGAATATTTTGTAGTCTGTAACATCATCAGTTTAATACCAAATATCAAACTGTTCTTAAAATCAAGAAAAATGCTCTTAAAAGGTGCTGACACAAGGTACTTTTTAAAAGACATATTTGTGCATGAAAAATAACCATAAATGTATAAAAATTACTAAATATTGATGAAATGAATATTGTAAAGGTTTCTTTTTATAAAGGTTGTTTGTTTTCTGAGAGTGTAAGAAAGAATGATGATTTCTGGCAAGATTTTTCTTTACTGATTGTTCATTTTTAACATATATTTTTAATAGGTTTGGGCAAGAGTGACTATGAATAGACAACTTCTTGATCATATGGATTCATGGACCGCTAAGTTTAGAAATGTAAGTTGTGTCAGTCTTAGGGACAATATTAGTGCCTCCTGATATGCAGAGTTCCATTAGAGTTCTTATTAATTAGAATGTTATAATTATTAAAAAATAATAGTTATTATTAAAAAATACAATTTGAATGGTATCTCTGTAAAGATAAAAATGACATTTACCTTATAATATCCATTGTGGGATTGTTGTTCCCTCCATGTTTAGTAAATCAGTGTATTTAGAGAAAAGAAAAAAGCATTCTATCTTCCCAAATTTTCAGTTTTATTTTTCAAGGAGCCTTTCTTTTATTTTTTTAAAGTTCTAATTTTTATTTTATTATCATGTTGTACTAGGAGTACATTGTGACATTAACAAAAGTTCTTACAGCATATCATAGTTGAATTCACCCCCTAAGAGCTTTTCTGTCAGAGTCTTTTATGTGCCTAAAATTATGAAGGAAATGAAAAGGGGGTCCTTGCCCTTAGAAAACTTAGCTGTTAGAGAAATGCAATGACATAGACTTGAAGCTACTTCAGAACATATATGTATACATACATACGTATATATACACACATCTTCAATTTCCTAGAGAAGAACCCTCTTACCTTTGACCTGGAAGCCAACTCCTCCACACAGAGAGGCAGTTAGTTGCCAGGTTGTCAACCCTGCCTTTTTTCCCAGTCTATAGCACCTGTATGTCTCAGGTTCCGTGGGCAGATTGCCTGTCTCCTCATTGCAAGTAGCTCCTCTTCTGTAGAAGCTGCTGTTGCTTCGTCCTTCATCCTTCATTCTGCATCTTTAGAACTATTTTGAAATCACTGGTACTCATTCCTTTATTTGTTTACTATAAATAGAGTATCAAGAGGGAGGGATAACTGGCTGGCTGTAGTGGTGTACACCTATAACCCCAGCACTTGAGGCTGAGACAGGAGGATCTTGAGTTCCAGGACAGCCTGGCTTACATTTTAAAAAAGAGAGAGACGTGAAAAAAAAAAAATGGTAGCCTACTTTCTTGAACCAAAAACCCAAACATCATTTTATTTTATTTTTTTGTGGTACTGGGGTTTGAACTCAGGGCTTACACATTGAGCCACTCCACCAGTCCTTTTTTTGTGATGAGTCTTTTCAAGATAGGGTCTGGAGAACTACTTGCCTGAACTGGCTTTGAACCTCGATCCTCCTGATCTCTACTCCTTAGTAGCTACATTGCAGTCGTGAGCCACCGGCACCTAGCCTAAACATCATTTTAAAAATAAAACTTTCACCTGTTGAACTGGGTGTGTGGTTCAAGCCTATAATCCCAGCACTTGGGAGGCTGAGGTAGGAAGATTGACAAGTTCAAGGCCAGCCTTGAGTTACATAGCAAGACCCTGTCTCAAAAAAAAAAAAAAAAAAAAAAAATGTCACCTGTAGTCTTATCTACTCAGGAGGCTGAGCCCAGGAGAAAGGCCAGCAAAAACCCCAATTCAAAACTGTAATTAACTAATTAATTTAAAAAATTATAAAAGTTTCTGAGTCCAATTCCAGAACTACTCAATTTCTGGAGGTAAGTCCAAGATCTTAAGCCAAAGAGTAGCTGGCAAATAGATTGCATGTAGTAAGTGGTGAAAGAACAAATGAATGAGGTGATGTCCTGGAACTATATGCTTTTGTATGCTAATATCTGTTTAAAATATAAAGGCTTACAGGAGTGTTAGCTACTTGCAAACACAATTCCTCATCTGAATTCCTTAGGATACTGAGTTACGAAATTTAGAGTTCTTCAGGGTTTTGTGTGTGTGTGTGTGTGTGTGTGTGTGTGAGAGAGAGAGAGACTGGGGTTCCAACTCAGGGTTCCCACTTGCAAAGCAGGCACCCTCCTGCTTAAACCTCACCTCCATTTCACTCTGGTTATCTTGGAGATGGGGTCTCTTGAACTATTTCCCTGGACTCACCTCAAACCTCCATCCTCCACATCTCAGTCTTCCAAGTAGCTAGGATTACAAGTGTGACCCACTGGTGCCCAGCCTAGATTTTTTTTCCCCCAAGCAGTATGTAGGGGTTGGGAATGTAGGTCAGTAGGAGAGCACTTGTATAGCATGTATGAGGCCCGGGGTTCCATTCCCAGTACCACCAAAAAAAACGACAAAAAAGCAATATGCACATGCCATATATTTTGTGACTCCACTAGCATGTCTGTTTAGCACTAGTAATCAGCCAATTAATATTTCTGCAACAAAATATATGAATAGTCAAACTAAATGAGATAAAATCTATAAGTAACTTCATGTGAATTCAGTTCAAGTCTTGCTACTGTATCAAATTTTGCTTATGAAATGTGTTACAAAAAAGACTCAGTTTTCATATGTCTTACTTGTTTAAAAGGGATGGTGGGTGTTTGAGCTGAAACCTTTTTTTTTTTGGCAATATATAGGGGCTTGAACTCAGGGCCTCACACTTGGTAGGCAGATGTTCTACCATTTGAGCCACTGCACCAGTCCACCTGAAACATTTAATCTTTTAATTCATTTATTTATTTTTGTGGGCCTGGGATTTGAACTCAAAGCTTCACCTTTGCAAAGCAGGCACTTTACCACTTGAGCCAAACCTCCAGTTTTGCTGTGGTTAATTTGGAGGTGGAGTCTTGCAAACTATTTGCCCGGACTGGCCTTGAACTGCAATCCTCCCAAACTCAGCCTCCCAAGTAGCTAGGATTATGGGGTGAGCCACCAGCGCTCTGCTCATCTTTTAATTTTATGGTAATATCTTTTCTTCCTTTAATTTTATGATTAAACAAAAGCATGGAAACAGAAGTGGTGGTTGAAGTTGCTACAAGCACACAAAGCAGTAACACACAAATATACCGAACAAGGAGTTTCACTGGACAGTCTTTTCACATTTCAGAATTAGTTTGATACTAGCTGTGGAAAGTAGAATTTGAAATTCCCAGTCCTAAAGTAATATTTTAATATTCCAAACTCATTTAAATATTTGTTTTTATATACAGTTAGGGAACTGGGAGAGCCTGTTTGAAAACCTGTCTTACTGTTTACAATCCAATATAAACTCTATGCTAATAAGTATGGGAAAGGGCTGGAGGCATAGCTCAAGGAGGCTCTGAGTTCAAAACCCCCAGCACTGCCAATAAATGAACAGTTACCCTAGAAATTAGCCATGTTGTGGTGGCTCACACCTGTAATCCTACTTGGAAGGCTGACATCAGGAGGATCGTGGCTCAAGGCTAGCCCTGGCAAATAGTTTGAGAGACTCCATCTCCAAAATAACCAGAGTAAAAATGGACTGGAGGTTGGAGGTGTGGCTCAAGTGGTAGAGCACCTGCTTTTTAAGAGCTAAGCCCTGAGTTCAAACACCAATCCCATCCCCCCCCTCAAAAAAATTACCCTAGAAGTATATACTGAAGATTATCTTTTGTTTTAGTTGAGAATAATAATATAGAAAGAAAATTTTAAGAAAAATTTAACATATAGCTGAAGGTATATTTTCTTTAGGAAAAACGGGCATGTTTATAATTGAAGCATGTAGTTTAGTTAATGTGAACTCCAATAGCATATTTATTTAACTCTTCTGGACTTCATGTAACTGTTACTTCCATTGTCTTTCATTGTATTTGATAATTCTTTTAATATTCACATTTAAGGCAGCAAAATTCTTATAAAAATGGTCCACTTGTAAAAATGAAAATAACTGTTTAAGAAATACTTTGGAATTATAAATACATCTATACTTATTTCTCCCTAGTGGATCAATGAGACAATACTAGTGCCACTTGTACAAGAGATTGAGTCCGTCAGCACCCAGATGAGACGAATGGGTTGTCCAGAGCTCCAAATAGGAGGTATGTGAAATAGAGCCCAGCATTTGGCTTATTTTCAATAAATCAGCCAAGGAGAAAATATCTTCTTGTAATGGGATATTTAACAACTTCCTTTATTATTTGCAAGTGAAAAACAAAATGTCTAAAATATGGTTGTTGTTTTTGTAATGTAACAGCTTGAGATGTAATTTACCTGCCATAGAGTTTGTGCATTTAAAGTGTACAACCAAAGGTTTGGCTTGGGCAGCCACCACCATTTTAAAACATTTCCTTACCCCAAAAAAGAAACCCCATGCCTTTTAATAGTCATGCCTTTTTACCCACATTCCTGCCAGCCTGTGCAAGTACTAGTCTGTTTATTGTCTCTACAAAATAGGCCTTTCATATATTTCATATTAGTGGTGTCATTCAGTATGTGATCCTTCTTGACTGATCTCTTTCACTTAACATGATGTTTTCAAGGTTCATCCAGGTGATAGCATTTATCAGTACCTACTTCTTTTTATGACCAGGTAATACTCAAAATTTTGTTTATCCATTCATCAGTTGATTGGCATTTAATTTCCACATTTTGACTATTATAAATAATGTTTCTATAGCAGTCATGTGCGTGTCTTTACATGCCCATAGGTTTTAATTTCTCTTGAGTTTATACTTAGGAGTAGAATTGCCAGGTCATTATATGTTAGTTTTTTGAGCAGCTGCCAGACTTGTAGAGCAGCTGTACTGCTTTCTGTTCCCAGCAGCAGTGTATAAGGGTTCCTATGTCTTCAAATAAGATGAGTTCTTTAGAGTGGCTCAAGTGGTAGAACACTTGCCTAGCAAGTGTGAGGTCCTGAGTTCAAACCCCAGTGCCACCCAAAAAAAAAAAAAAAATATATATATATACACACACACACACACACATACACATATATAGGTATATACATACTCACATATGTCAATTTTAAGTTGTACCATAATTTAAGAAATATAAAAAGTACATATTTTGGAACTGAGAAATATGGGCATATAATTTTAATTAAATTGAGGACTTTTTTTGTTACCTGCTCTTTTATACACACCTTTTTTTCCATTTTGTTAAATATTCTCCAGCACTGTTTTTATGGGTAAATTATATTTCTTTTTTATATTTGTTATATTTAACAGACCTCTATTACATAAAATTAAGGCATTTTTTTTAACTGTTGCTAAAATGCTATAATGAATATCCTTTACCTAAATCTTTGTGTATATTTATAATTATTTCTTTAGGATAATAGCATTGTTAGTTCAATAGATAGGAATATTTTAAGTCTTTTAATACACATTCTCTTCAAAAAGCTTACACTAGTTTATGTTCTAGCTTATATGTCACTTGTAAGATGCCTTTCCCATGAGTGTGATAGTCCGTGTTTATAATCCCAGCACTCGGGAGTCTGGGACAGGAAGGTTAAGAGTTCTAGGCCAGCCTGGACTACATAGCGAGACCTTCCCTCCACCATCACCTCCCACTTGAAAAGGAAAGTAAAAGCCTTTTTCCTAACATTGGTGTTACTAGCAAGGTTGAACATTCTGAAATTTTGGGGGACTTTTTCTTTGCATAGTTATCTTTCATGATATAAGAGGAATTACTATCACAAATCCTTTTATCCTGGCATAATGGACAACTTCTAATTCAACCAACTTTGAAGACTGCCCTGTATCTTTTTATACATATAGCATTAAAATCTTCTCTATATTAGTTGTTTATATATTTGTCAACACAGACTTCGCTTCTTTTTTAGAAGTATGTATGTGTACACAAGTCTGGCTATCTTGCCTGCAATGATAAACTGAAGGTAAAGTAGGTAATGCAAATTAAGATAACTGCCTTGTGTAAAGACCTGAAGGCAGCCGGCCATAGGTGGTTCACCCCTGTCCTCCTAGCTACTCAGGAGGCAGATATCAGGAGGATTGTGGTTTGAAGCCAGCCTGAGCAAATAATTTGAAAGATCCTGTCTCACAAAAAGTTATCATGAAAAAGGGCTGGTGGAGTGGCTCAAATGGTTAGAGTACCTGCCTTGTAAGCATGAGGTTCTGAGTTCAAACCCCAGTACCACAAAAAAACCTGAAAGCAGTAAGGAGCCAACTATTTCAACAGGTGAGGAAGAGCATTTTAAGTTCTTTTAGAGACTCTCATGAAGAATAATCTGGGTTCTCCGTATCTTATTTTTAACAGAGGCTAGTATTACTAGCTTGAAACAAGCTGCTCTGGTCAAAGCCCCTCTCATTCCAACTCTGAATACAATTGTGCAGTATCTAGACCTAACACCAAATCAGGAATATTTGTTTGAAAGGATCAAAGGTAAGTTTTTTGAAGAAGAAAATGAGCTTTTTTGTAACAGTGAGATTTTATAAGTGAAGGATAACAAAGGAAAAATTATTTTTCAAAATTAAAAGCATAACTGAGCCTGTTGGTACATGCCTATATCCCAGCTGCTTGAGAGTGGATATCAGGAGGATCACAGTGCCAGGCCAGTCTGGGCAAAAAGAAATGAGACCCTGTCTAAAAAATGATTAAAGCAAAACAGGAGCTGGGTTCTGGTGGCTCACACCTGTAATCCCAGCTACTCAGGATGCAGAGATCAGGAGATCGAGGTTGGAAGACAGCCCAGGCAAATGGTTCATGAGACGCTGTCTCGAAAAACCCTTCACAAAAATAGGGCTGGTGGAGTGCCTCAAGGTGAAGTCCCTGAGTTCAAGCCCCAGGACCATAAAAAAAAAACAAACAGGAGCTGGGGGGTGTGGCTCAAGCTATAGAGCTCTTACCTAGTAACTTCAAGACCGTGAGTTCAAACCCCAGTACCACCAAAAATTTTTTAAATAGAAAAAATTTAATAGTATAGCTGGGTTTTGGCCTCACATGGATAGAGCATTTGCCTACCAGGCTCAAGGCCCTGGATTCAAACCCTAGTACCACACCTCAAAAAAAATTAAAGTGTAATTATGATCTTATATTTAGTAAATATATATTTAATTATGGCTTAATTAAAGCTTATACTTTAATAACTTTTTGGGTCCTCTATTTTATACATTTAAGTATTGTCAAAAGTATAGCCCAAATATGTTAATTACTAATTTTATTCTGTATAAGAATATGACCCAAATGAGTTCAAGTGAATACTTCATTCTTTTTCTATTCTTAGACTACCAAGAATAGGTGCTGCAGTAACATTCTTTATTATATCAAATGCCAGTCTGATTTCTTCTCATGATTGAGGGGAGATGTGATGATCTGAAATCAGGAAGCTCAGCCTCCCTGACATGCCCTATGCACACACTAACTATGCCTCTACTTAGAGAGCAGTTCATAAAGTTAGAATTTTTCTTATTTGGATAAACTCTATAAAATGTTTTCATCCCCCAAACATGCTTTTAAATACTGTTTCAGTATTCAGAGTTATCATAAGCCTTAATTTGAAAATGTTACAGTGCTTTCCCTTTACCCCAGGTTTGGATTGGGATTCAGGAATTAGCATTTTTCTTGACTCTCTAAAAACTTGTTACATGGGAGAATTTCAAAAGTGCAATAAACCAGACAAAATGGTTTACCTAACCCTATTGAATACACATCACACAGGCCTAACGTCTTCCATCTGTCCCTGGGCAGCCCTTGCCTTATCTTTGCCTCTGTTTGCTTTCTTCCTTCTGTTTTATTTGAAGCAAGTCCTATATATCATTATCAGTTCACCTACAATATTTCCTTATGTGTCTCTAAAGATAAAGCCTTTAAAAAATTCCATCATACAGCTACACTTAACCACAATATAGTTATCACATCTATTATTTTTAACATTTCTTTCATGAAATAGCTGGTATATTTTCAAATATCCATCACCTTATAAAATACATAATTTCTTTTTTAATATTTTTTTAGTTAGGATTGAGATGTTTTCATGAGTTGTGATAGGTTATTATATTTTCTGTCCCTTTTTTTTTTTCCCTTTGCAGTATATTTGTTGAAAGAACTGGATTGTTGTCCTACAGAGTCTCCTATAATCTGAGTTTTGCTGACTGTATCCATGGTGTAGTTTTACATAACTCCTTTGTCCTCTGTATTTCGTATAAACTCAGGCTAAAATTTTTTGGTGGGATTGCTTCATATAACAGGGCATGGTGGCTCATGTCTGTAATCCTAGCTTCTTGGGAGGTGGATATTGGGAGGACCTACATTTGAAGCCAGCCTGGGCAAGAGTTTCTCAAAAAACAACCTGGGCATGATGGCATGCACCTGTCATCCCAGCTACAACAAGAGGCCATAGGTAGGAATGCTGCCTATGGTCTGGGAATAACTAAAGCAAAAAGGACTAGAGGCTTGGGTCAAATGGCACAGCACCTACCTAGCAAGTGCAAGTTCCTGGGTTCAAACCCCCAGTACTAGTGGGTGGAGGGGGTGGGAGTGGGAAGATTGCTTCATAAGTAACAGAGTACATATAAATGAAAAAATATATAAAGTGTTAAATACAAATAAGTTTAGAAGAATACAATTGCATACTGTACCACCTGGATGTACCACCTGGATTGAATAGTTAGAAACATTTTGTATTTGATTCTCTTTCCCTCTACATTTATATACATATGTTGTGTGATGAACCATATGCAAGTATGTTGCAGGCAAGTCATGGTCACTCAAATCTATAATCTTAGCTACTTGGGCAGCCAGAGATCCAGAAGATCTGGTTCTAGGCCAGCTAGGCAAAAGGGCCTCTCAGTCAGTGGCTGGATGGACACTGGCACATGCCTGTCATCCCAGCTTTGCAGAGAATCACAAATAGAAGGATGTCCAGGCCACTCTAGGTATAGAGTGAGACCTATCCCCAAAAATAACTGACACTGAAAGGGCTGGGGGTGTGACTCAAGTGGTGAGAGTCTGTCTAGCAGGCACAAAGCCCTGAATTCAACCCCCCAGTCCCCAAAAAAAAAAGTGCAGACATCATTACTTTTCAGCATACATTTTGCTAAGAATAAGAACATCCTTTTTACATAACTATAATGCACTTATCACGTCTTAAAAATTAACAGTTCTATAATACCATCTAATTTAGAGTTCATACTCAGACTTCCCTGTTCTCCAATGACTTTTTTTGAGACAAAGTCTCACTATGTAGCCCAAGCTGACCTGAAACTCGCTATCCTCCAGCTTCTGCCTCCTGAGTGCTGGGGTTTATAGGTATGGGCCATCATGCCTGGCTGTCCAATGACTTTTTAAAGAATCCAGAGTAGTAGTCTTATCCCACATTTTGGATTTTTCTGATTCTTTGTTCATAGTGATATTTAACTTTTGTGTCTTGTTTTTCTTTATTTGGGGTGTTTTTTGGTGTTGTCTTGGTTTTTTTTTTTTTTTGCGGTACTAAGGTTTGAACCTCACGCTTGCTGGGCAGGCGCTCTACCACTTGAGCCACTCCATCAGCCCTATTTGGGGTGTTTTCATAAGGTTTTTAGGATAATGTGCTTTTCTCCAAGCATGGTGGTATATGCCTATAATCCCAATATCAAGGAGGCTGAGGCAGCCTCAGCTACATAGTGAAACCCCGTTTCAAAAAAAAAAAAATTGTGTGTGTGTGTATATGTATGTATGTCTGTATAATATGCTTTCCTAATTGTAACCCCTAGCTATCTTTTTTCTCTTGCATGTCCTTGGCTTTTTTAATTTTGCCTTACCACACAGAGCTTTCTCAAGGAGGCTGTATGAGCTCGTTTCGGTGGAACAGAGGTGGAGACTTCAAAGGACGCAAGTGGGATACAGACCTGCCCACTGATTCTGCGGTAAATCCCTAGTTATAGGTTTTTATTAGCTTAGTATTTTTGGTATTAGATATGTTTCTTTATTTTTCCATGTTGAAATAAGTATTAGAAAGAATTTAGAAACCAAGATAGAAAATGAATTACAGTAGTGCTGGCTTCTTAACCCACCTACTGTTAATATTTTTGTGTACTTTTTGTCCCTTTATTAAGGTGGTGCTACTTTTTAATATTTTTATCATAGTTGTAATTATACTGTATGTAAAATTATATGAGTTTTTTTGCTTTTGCGGTATTTAAGTATTTTATTCATTATTGCATATTGTTATTTAACTATTCTCCTGTGTTGTAACTAAAAGATTAAGAAATTTATGGTGTACGAAGGATTTTTGTTTTTCTATCTTAAATAGTGTGACAAGGAAGACTATGATGCATATTTCTTTCTTATCTGGCATTATCACTTTAAGAACAATTCCTGGTGTCAAATTTTCTAGATCAAATAGCATAAAAGTTTTTGTGCCCTTAAATGTTTTTCAAAATCAGGCTATTAATAGTAACTATTATATGTGAAAATAAGTTTTAACTGTTGACATTCAAATTAAAAATTGAATGTATGTGCATTTTATCTTTGCTTTGCTGTCAGCTATATGGGTATGAACACAAGGAATGCACTGCTTTGCTAGGGTTACTGTGCAAAACCAAAGCTTGGTGTTTAAATTGTCCCTGTCATGCTGTGTGTCCCTGACTGTGTAAATGGTAATAGCAACTTTGTAGGTGGAGCTTTATGTTTTCTTTTTTTAATTTGAAAAGGAAATCATCCCCTCAAAAGATCAAGATAATTTGATGGCAAATATATTTTTCAGCTTTGTTTTTTTTTTTTAAGGGTACTAAGGGTTAAACTCAGTATCTCATACTTGCTAGCACTTGAACCACTCTGCTAGCCCTTCAGTTTTAAATGTTTAGTGTTTTTTTGTTTTGTTTTGCTTTTAGTGGTGCTAGGGATTGAGCCCAAGGCTTATATATGCTAAGCAAGTGCTCCACCACTGAGATATATTCCTAGCCCCCAAGTGGATTATTTACTAAGCTGGCTTAGTCTCATCTCTTCAACACACTGAATTCCTTTATGATTTAAGAGAGAAGATTCTATTAGTGAATTCCTTATTGTTATCTAAAATAATACTTTTGGTTAAAATAATATGTTTGTTACCTGGATTATGTGAGTTTCTTTCCATTCTGTAAGTTCCGTCTCAAATATAAGCATATTTGCTAATTCTTTATTTGGGGAAAAATTTTAAAGTTGAAATTGTTATAGGTAAATATGTTTTAAAGAGCTGTTTCCATGCTAGATTTTCATGCTAACTCTGAACAATTACTTCCTCATCTTCAGATCGTCATGCATGTGTTCTGCACCTACCTTGATTCTAGATTACCTCCACATCCTAAGTATCCTGATGGAAAAACATTCACCTCTCAGCACTTTGTTCAGACGCCAAATAAACCAGGTACAAGCCTCTCCTAAAAGAACGTGTTGACATTTTTCACATGAAATGTCTCTAACGGTTTAGTTTAATATAACGTGTTTTTACAGATGTTACAAATGAGAATGTTTTTTGCGTTTATCAAAGTGCTGTCAACCCTCCACATTATGAGCTTATCTACCAGCGCCATGTCTACAGTCTTCCAAAGGTATTTCTGCACATACAGGTTACTGTTAGAGAATGTTGTAGGTGCTTTACTTTGATATACTTTTGTTTGTTTGTTTTTTTGGGTGGGACTGGGGTTCAAATTCAGGCTTTGTGCTTGCAAAGCAGGCACTTTCCTGCTTGAGCCATATCTCTTGTCCATTTTGCTCTGGTTATTTTGAAGATGAGGTTTCTCAAAGTATTTGCCAGAGATGTCATTGAACCTCAATTCTCCCAACCTCAGCCCAAGTAGCTGGGATTACAGGCATGAGTCACTGGTGCCTGGATTAATACCACTTTTAAAATTAGAATCTCAGGGCTGGTAGAGTGTCTCAAGTGGTAAAGTACCTGCCTAGCAAGTGTGAGGCCCTGAGTTCAAACCCCAATGCCACAAAAAAAAAACCATAAAATTATTTCTTGTTTATAGAATAGGTAGTAAACTTTTTATAGGAGATGTGTTTTTCTTATATTCTTTTCTTTTTACAACAAAAGTAATATGCCTGGCTGGAAACCTCCAGCCAGTATGCTCAATCCGTACCACACCTGAGTTCAAACTCCAGTACCACCAAAAACAAAAAAAAAGTAACATGCTTAATTTGGAAAAGTATGAAAAAAAGAAAGAAAAATCACTCATTTGGAGGTAGCTATTGTTGACATTCTATTGTTTTAGTTTTTGGAAATTTTTGTTTTAGTCTCTATTTTTTATGGGTTGAAATCATATAACTTATGTAGTCTTATATTTTGCTTTTAAAAGTTAAAATGACATAATTTTACATGCCATTAAAAAATCTTCATAAGGATACTTCTTAATACCATAAGAACTTTTTCATGATATATTTTATTCATTCCCTACTGTTAGACATTTGGAATAGTTCTACTCTTCATTATAAATACCAAAAATTCATCTTCACGCATATAGCTGTCTGCATCTTGGATCATTTCTTTGATCCAAAGTTCCAAAAGTGGAATTCTGAGCCACGGAGTATATTCAAGGCTGCTTACAAATATATATTACCAAATTACTTTTGAAAAAAGGTTATTCTGCCAGTTTACACTTCCATCTAGGCATTTTAGTCTTGATTGTAAACATGAGTTTTATTGATAACCTTTGCCATTTCTTTTTTGTTAGCAGCATATTTACTGAGAAATTTCACATTGACTATAATTTGCTTTGGGGGTTTTTTTTGTTTTGTTTTGTTTTTAGCTAGGGTCTCATTATGTAGCCCAGGCTGACCCTCGAACTCACTATATAGCCCAGGCTAGCCTCAAACTTACAGTCCTAGCCAGGTGACAGTATCTCATGCCTATAATCCTACCGACTTGGGAAGATAAAATCGGGAGGATCTCAGTTGAGGCCAGCTGGGGTAAAAGTTAGATCCCCATGTAATCAGTGAAAAATGGACTAGAGGTGTGACTCAAGTGATAAAGTCCCTGCTTTGCAAGTGCGAAGCCTGAGTTCAAACCTCAGTGCCATCAGACAAACAAAAAACCTTGCAATCCTATCTCAACCTCCCCTTTTCTGGGATTATAGGTGTGCACAACCAGCCTATTGACTATAATTCTGTACTGTGTTCTCCATCAGATTCCCAAGATTCTAATTTCATTTCTTTCAAGTTTAATATTTTACCTTTGTAAATGCATGCATAGTGTTGTGTTTTGGACCACTGAAGTTTCCATACCCATGACAGTCCACATTCTCAGAATTTTGAATAAAAACATCTTAAATCATAGAAAGGAGGTAAAAGTTAATCGGTAAGTCGAGAATATAAATTAGCTGTTTTTATAAAACAACAGATATAGTAGTTTGATTTTAGAGCCAGCAAAATGCTGCTTAGTAGCCCTTGTTTATAAAATAAATTTGTATTAAGCATGTGTCTTATGTACTAAGGTATGCTGTGATACATTTTGAAGTATGACTAAAAGTTTTGGGGGTTTTTTGGTCCTACTGGGGTTTGAAAACTCAGGGCCTTGTGCTTAACTAGGCAGGCACTCTACCACTTGAGTCATGCCTTAGCTCATTTTGGTTTAGGTATTTTTCTGTTTTGCTAGGGGAGGAAGTGGCTTCTCTTGGCACTAGGGGTTGAACTCAGGGCCTCATGCTTGCTAGGCAAGTGATCTACCGCTTGAGCCATGCCTCCAGCCCTGTTTTAGATATTTTTCAAATAGGGTTTGTCTTTTGTTTTGTTTTGGTAGGACTAGTGCTCATCTGGATCACAATCTTTTCTATTTATTTTTTCCACGTAGCTGGAATGACAGGAGTATGCCACCATTCCCAGCTACTGGTTGAGGTGGGATCTCGAGAACTTTTTGTATGGGCTGGCCTTAAACTGTGATCTTCCTCATCTCTACCTCGCAGGTAGCTAGAATTACAGGTGTGCACTACTGTGCCTGGTTCTGAAAGCTATTTTAATCCTGACGTTCTTATAAATGTGTTAGTTTGAGGGGGATAGAGCATTTTTTAAATGTAGTTCTGGTGCGCCAACTTCAGAATAGCTCTCTTTCAACCTTATTAAATGCTATTCCCCATATGTGAGATCCCCGCCCCATATGTCAACTTCTTGTTCATATTTCAGGTCTCAGCTTCCCTCAGGGAGGCATTCCATGCCCTTCCAGTCTAGGTTAGATGCTTTCCAGTGTTCCTGTGGCATCCTACACCCTTTCTCATATGTTGAAATCTTAGTTTACTATCTGCCTTTCCTACTATGTTAAGCTCTTCATTACATGGATCCATTCTGTCTTATTCACCACAGTATTCCCACTTCCTAGCACCAAGTATGGGCTTTTTATTTAATGGATGGATGAAGTCTGAATTATGTAGAATTCTGAGTTGATAGGGTATGAATTGATAAGATCTGCATTTGCCTACCACATTGAATCTTTTCAGTTCAGTTTAAATCTTGTCTTTTGTGTCTTGGTTCTAGGGCAGAAATAATATGTTTCATACATTGCTCATGTTCCTCTACATAATAAAGACCAAAGAGTCAGGAATGCTTGGGTAGGTATTTATGCTCTTAAAATGTAAGTAATTTATTTACTGTTTTTCTTCCTATGCTAAATTACAGATGGCAGCATCATATAACAGAAGGTTTATGGACTAAACTCTAGATACAGCATCTAGTACTAGCTCAGTCCTATTACTAGTGGTGTCTGCTATCTAGGAAAGTCCTTTAACTCCTCAAAATCTCCGTTTCGATATTAGTAAAAGGCAATTGGACCACATCATTGGCTTTACAGTTGTGTCCCCTGGAGGAACAACTCTTGAGATAGGTAAAAATCTGGGCTCTTGACATTTGAAAATTAAAAAAAAAAAAAAAAAAAACAACTCAGAAACAACTTGGAGTCTGTTTTTTTTTCCAAGTCATTCTATTCTATACACAAAGCATTCTGCAAATTGGTTACATCTCCAAAAGGCTGAGTCAGTACTCATTCCAAAATATTCATTGAGTTAAAAAAATAGTCCATTGAAATTGCTTACATATTTAATAATGCTCACATTGTTAAAATCATTATCTTGTCATTTTGATGATTCAGACTTTTAGTGTATCAAATGTTAGTTGAAAGAAGTGCAAGGTCCCTGCTGAAGCTGGGGACATCTGGTAGTATATGATCTGGGGTCTGAAGACCTGGTGCTGGCTCCAGCTCGGCCATACTAAGTGCCTAAGGTTGACACAATGTTAAAGGAGGGGCTCAGAGCATAAAATCCTGTGGTCATTTCCACTTCTGATGGGTGTGCCTCTGTTTAAACGGTTGTGTTTAGGCATCCTTTTTGTAATTTAGAGGTTAAACAGTGTCCCAACTTTGCACTGTTTAACACAGCAGCCACCAGCCACATGCACCATTGAGCACTTGGAACATGCTCTTAAGTTTTAACTGTATCAGATGTCAAAGACATAATACCCAAAAAATGTAAAGTAGTTTCTTAATAATTTTGTATATCAGTTACATACTGAAATGTCATTTTGGATATATTAAGTTAAATGAAGTATAGTCTTAAAATTAATTTCACGTTTCTTACTTAGGTGTCTATTAGGAGACTTAAAATGATGTACATGCTTTGCATTGCATATGTTATATTTCTGTTGGACAGCACTGCTCTAGAGAAAACAAAGCTCCTATCCTTCAGTATATTACTTGCAAAAGATTAACAGACATGAACGGGACTGGTAGAGTGGCTCAAGCAGTAGAGCACCTGCCTAGCAAGCATGAGGCCTTAAGTTCAAGACCCAGTACTGCCAAAAAAAACCCCCAAAAAAAACCCAAAAATGCAGACATGAACAGAAATATAGAAACAAATATAAACATTCATCAGCTTCTTTTATCATATATATTTCTAATTAATATATAAGAAAAATTAAATAGGAAAATCACTTTTGTGAAGTGTCTAAATTTTAACATGGCTCTTCGTTCCTTCATTTTTGATTGCTAAAACTAATGCATGCTCAGTACAGAAATATTTATTTAAACAGTGTAACAGTATACAAACCAGAAAGTGAAAATACTCTTCTGCTCAGCCTTTTCCTTCCTCCACCTTCAAAGTATTAACAGTGTTGGGTTTACACTTCCAGACTACTTTCTGGGAATGATTTTTTCACCTTGCTTAAAAAATGTATTATACCTACTTTTTGCTCTGTGACCTGATTTTTAATCTTCTGGTATATCTAGGACATTTTTTCCATACTAGTAAAATACACTTTTTCTCTAAAATTTCTAGGAATATTCGGTTACATACATGTATGTGCACATATATTAGGTGGGATATGGAATTTGGTATAAATATATTGTTAGTATATAAATACATTGTTTTGAATTCTTCACTGAGTGCTTCTGAAAGGCTATTTTGAAGAATTAAGTTTTAAAACTGTGTATATGTGGTATTGGGATTTGAACTTAGGGCCTTGTGCTAGGCAGGTATTGTACCACTCAAGCCGTACCTCCAGCCTTAGAACATTTTAAATATACGATGAATTTTTGGTTTGGGAGGGGCTTGTTTACTTGATTGCTGTTTTGAGTGCTGAGCACTGAACCTAGGGCCTCGTACATTCAAGCGAGTCTACCACTGAGCTAGATCTCTAGGCCAAATATTTGGAGTTTGGGGGGGTTGTTTTGTTTTTGAGACAGGGCCTTGAACTTACTATGTAGCGTAGGCTGGCCTTGAACTCACAATCCTCCTGCCTTAGCAGTGCTGAGATTACAAGTGTGTGACTTCCGAATTTTTGGTCTAATTGAAAATTCATCTTTTCCTTTATAAATACAAATTGATATTTTGATGCATAAATGATTTGTCATGATAATATAAAGTTTGTGTTAAGTACAAGATACAATTTATCATATGCATAAAAATGAAAAAAACTTTAAAAGTATTTAATTGAGCAGTTAATTTACTACAAGGTCAAATAGAATTGGTATAATTTTGAAAGTGCTTGTCTTTTAATGAGCAACTTACATGTGGAAAATAAAACATTTTTGACTGAAACTAATACTTTTATTTATTGCATTTTTTAAAACCAAGGTGAAAAAACTTGGAAATTATTCACCTTTATACTATGAGTGATTAATCTTTTTAATACTTTCTAAAACAAATAATTAAAGCTAGGGATGGTTAGTACACACTTGTATTCCCAGCACTCTGGAGATTGAGACAGGAAGATTGCAATTTTGACGTCAGCGTGGGTTATATAGCAAAACTCTGTCTTAAACAAAACATCATCAAGCAGTTAAAAACTACCATCCTTTCAGGCACCTGTGGTTCACATCTGTAATCTTAGCTACACAGGAGGCAGAGATCAGGAGGATCATGGTTCAAAGCCAGCCCCAGGGAAATAGTTCTCGAGGCCCTGTCTCTAGAAAAACAGTCACAAAATAGGGGCTGGTGGAGTAGTTCAAGGTGTAGGCCCTGAGTTCAAACACCAGTACCACCAAAAAAAAAAAAAAAAAAAAAAATGGCAAATAGGGTTACAAGCTCATGAGTTCCTTGTTTTCCCCAAGGCCACTTCCCAAAGGCAGCCACTTGAAACTTTCAGCTTTTTGTTCTGATCAGACTCTCATAGTTCCAAATAATAGAGTATGCAGCTCTTCAGTTTTAGACAGTATTTGTTTCTTTTTCTGTTGGATGACTGATTTAATTCTTTCCTAGCCCTCTTCTTGTACTTTATGTATTCTATGGAGTGGCAGTAGGTTTGTCTTTTTGCCATATTCAGTGTGGTTTAAGATGTATAAAGAATACATATTTAATTGATAACATTTAAGGCAACTCTGCAATAAATTATGCACATGGTTTACCAGGTGAGTTTGAGTAACAGGATTTACTCTCCACTGTTCAAAGCCCAAGTATAGAATACAGTGTTGAAAATTAGTTTTTCAGTGGACTTGAAGAATTATTGCACCAGACAGTAGAGACTTTAATAAGATCAAAGTATCAATTAAATTTTTAAAAATGGAGGCTACAGGAATGCCAGTATTTAGAACAAAACCATAAGTGCTTGGCAAGCAATTTTACTACAGTTTTTTTTTTTCTTCTTCTTCTCTCTTTCTCTTTATAGGAGAGTTAATCTTGGTCTATCTGGTGTGAATATTTTGTGGATTTTTGGTGAATAATGAGTCATTTCATTCCAAACATTTGGACTTTTATTTTATGGAACCAGAAGTTGAGTACAAGCATCTCTGAGTCACCATCTCTTCTGAAATAAGATACGTGTGTGTTGCAGACTTGTTAGATTTAACCAAAAATTACCTACTATGAAACTGCCTCATGAAAGTATGCCCTGTAATTTCTGCTATAAGAAACATTACCTTTTACATCGCATTGAGAAACTTCAACTGACTACAACCCTTCAGATGTTTAGTGCAAAATGGTGCAGTTCCCCCTTGGTTAAATAAATTGAAGAGCCCTTTTTCATTGAAACCCCTAAATAAGAATCATTCACCTGATTGTTCATCACAAAAATGTTTTTAGTTGTGTTATTTAGTAGTGTAAATACTCAACAAAAGAAAACTGATTTTCTTTGTTTAATCTCTGTATTTCCCCAGTATTCTGCAAATCAGTCTAAAGCCTATATTCAAGGAAATGAAATTAATTTCTGAGAAATGCAGTAGTTAGCCCATGTATACATTTTAAATACGACTAAAGGAAGTATGAGGCGTCCTCACTTGCATGAACTCCTGGCCTTGACCTTAGAGGTACGCCGAGCTCTACTGGTGGAGCTCCCAGGAAGCCCCTGTGCTTAGTGCTTTTCCCCAGCACTCCCGTGGCCACTTCTGAGCTTGTCTTCCAGCATGTGGTCCTCACTCTGTGCCACTCTGAGTGGGGTGTTTCTTGTACCTTCTATCTGCAGGCCATATCTGGCTCTTGGGAAGGCTGAACAGGTACATGAGGACTCCGCTTAGGAGCAGCTAAGGGGATTGATGGGGTGTGTGTGTGTTAGAACTGTACCGTGCAGCAGCAGGAGGAGGGCAATGTGCACTACACATGGGACTTGGCCTCCTCCATGGTGGGTAAGCTTGAAAAAAAAAAAAAGTTTGACAGTATTGGTGTTTTTAAAAAGTCAACTTTTAGATTAAATTCAGCTGGTAGAATTAAACTATTTGGGTTTCAGTTTTAAAAGTCTGAGAACATCAGGGAAACTGTTTTCTTACTTTGGTTTTAGCAAGTTGTTCTCATCGTTCTACGTTATTTTTAGAGTTTTATTTTAGGATATCCTGTCCACTTAACGTTTTTAGATACAGTATTTTCAAAAATCTACAGAATGAGAAGATACTACATTTGTAAGTTTTGCTTAACTCTGTCTTCTGTGTGAATGTGAAATATAGCAGTTGCATGTATTTTCTTGATGGAAATATTTTTAGAGTTTGTTTCCATCACCTTTGTGAAATGTGGAAATGGCTATCTACTGAAGTATTATATATGCCCCCATTTTGTGTAATTTGTGAATTGTTTTTTAAAAAGTTGCTCATGTTTTTTTAAAAATTGATGTCCAGAAGAAAGGAACTATCTTTTTCTTTCTCTCTTTTTTTTTTTTTTAGTGGTACTGGGATTTGAATTCGGCTTCATGCTTGCTAGGCAGGTGCTTGTACCACTTGAATCACTCTACCAGCCCTTTTCTATGTTGGGTATTCTTGCAGTAGGATCTCACTTTTTTTTTTTTTTTTAGCCTGGACTGGCCTCAAAACGTGATCCTCCTAATCTTTGCCTCCAAAGATTACGGGTATGAGCCACTGGCACCCAGCAAAAGGAGCTATCTTTTAAATGTTATGGTATGTGTTTAAATCTATTTGGAATTTTTTTTAAAAAATACATAATTTCAGCATGTTAAATATAAGAACATGTTAAAATTTAAATCTTTGATTTCAAAGGGTATTGAAAATGTCATGGAATAACATTTGCTATGCTGCTAAACTGTACATTGCACATACTTCTACTAAGAAGGGCTGGAGGCGTGGCTCAAGCAGTAGAGCGCCTGCCCAGCAAGCATGAAACCCTGAGTTCAAACCCCAGTACCACCAGAAAAAGTATTAAGGAGAAAAATTGTAGCAATGCATACATAAGACAAAAGATCTTTTTTTGGGGGGTTGAGGGGTGGGACTAGGGTTTGAACTCAGGACTTCCCACTTTCAGAGCAGGTATTCTATGGTTTGAGCCACACCTCCAGTCCATTTTGCTCTAGTTATTTTTGAGATGGGCTCTTAAGAACTGTTTGCTGGGCTGACCTTGAACTCCATCCTCCTGATCTCAGCCTCCCAGGTAGCTAGGATTACAGATGTGAGCCACCTGCTCCCGGTAAAAGATCTTTTCTTCATAGGACTTAAAGTAGCTTCTCTAAGAATCCAAGTCTACATGCACACACGTATGTTTTTTGTTGTTTGTTTTTTGTAGCACTGGGGATCAAACCCAGGGCCTCACACGTGCTAGGCAAGCACTTTATTGCTGAGTCACCCTCCCTGTAGCTCTATAATATTTTGTTTTCTAAGTGACTATCAAAAAAATGCAATATATAGAAAATGTATATGTAAAAAGACTAGAGATACACATTAAAAAGAGAAGAGCTGCTTTGTCTGCATCCTAAGTGTGGGTTGCTATACTCTAGGTAGCTTTCCTATATTAACTTTTCTTTTAAAATGTTTGAGCCAGTTTGTACTTAAAATATATATCTTTTATTTAAAAAAAAAATACCTTAGCTGAACATGTTGGTACACAGCTGTAGTCCCAGTTATTTGGGAGGTGCTAGGGATATGGCTTAAGTGGTGGAGTGCCTACCTAGTAAATACAGGGCCCTGAATTCAAACCCTAGTACTGCCAAAAAAAAAAAAAAAAAGTTAAGAGGCAGGGCAGGAGCATCATGAGTTGAAGACCAGCTATGGCTACTTAGCTGACCTTATCTCAAAAAAGAAAAAGAAAAGAAAGAAAAATTCTGCTGGGGATTGAACCCAGGGCCTCTTGCATCTCTTGCATGCTAAGTGTACCCACTACCACTGAGCTATACCCCCAATCCCAAATACAGTGAGTTTAAAATAAGTCAGTATCTACTAATACCACTGATCAAATGTTATTTTTAGTATATACGTCACAGGTTTCCTTTTCTTTTGGGGGGAGGGGAGGAGTTGAGACAGGGTCTCACTATGTAGCACAGACTGGTCTCAAACTCAGAGTTCTCCTGCTCCTCCTTCCTAGTGCTACAATTGCAAGTGTGCTCCACCTTGTCCAGTCAGTTTCCTTTTCATTGCTTGACTCCTTGTGGGATAAGATCTACTAATCTAGATTATGATCACTGTCATTATCTTTTTCTTCTCTCAATATCAGACTTAAAGTAAATTTGTTTTAGGGCATACTTCAGGCATTTGTAATGTAAATCGAGACATAAAAATACTATATTGCTTGGTTTTGTCAAACTAACATATACTTTAAGCTGCTGTTTTAATGGTGAAGACATACTGTAGCACATAGGCTGGCACTTTTTAAACTTAGCTCTGTGATAGAAATCCTTTACATGTGGACATTCTTCAAAGGGTAGTCTTTGGTCCTCTCCACTGTATATACTTTTCCTTAGCAGTCTTATTCATTCCACCATTTCATTGATCACTTGCTTCTCTGCCTGATTGTCAAATTCATCACGTCCCTCCTGAGCTCTGGTGTTACATTTGCTAGTTCTTGTCAGACATTCACAGTTGGGTATCATGTAGACTCTCTGCGTCTGGAACTGAATTCATGTCTGCTAAAAACCAGCTCCCTCATCTGACATCCCTTTCTCTGCTCATTGTACTACCCAGTTGCCCACACTCAAAACTCTGGTGTCACCTTTGATTCCCTGAGCTCCCTGGGTCCCCAATCCAATCAGGCAGCAAACCTCATCCATTCTTCCTTAACAATGTCTCCTACAGCTGTCCCTTTCCATTTCTGCCACCACTCTGCTCATTTACACCCTTATCAACTCACACAGGACTACTGCAACAGCCTAATTAATCTCACAGCCTCCTAATTGTTGCCATACTTCCAGATTTTCCAATTCATCCTGCACATTCTCTTCAAATTTATCTTCCTGAAACACCTGTTTGATCATTTCATTTCCCTGATAAATTCCTAAGCCTGACATTTAAAGCCCTCTACAATCTGGCCCTAGCCTGGCCTTCTGCACCAAATCCTTGGCTCCTGCCCATGTGGGCTGCTCCTTGCATACAGGGTTCTGTGCCTGCTGCCTCCAGCTCACCCTCATCCCTCTCTGGGGATGACCCTCCCATTTCACAGTTCTCCTGGTGTGAGACTTACTTTGATTAAACCTGCTGTTTGGACCTGGTCCTGACCATGCCAGCTGGCAGGCGTTCTGTCCCAGGATGCTGAAACCTGTGGCCTTTGGCACTCAGCAGCCCTGTGAATAGATTGGGAAATAACTTTCAGTCTCTGAACCATAGTGGTCATATCCTGTCTCATCTCCACACAAGAAATGAGTGTTGTACTAGTCTGAGTCGTGAAGGTGCTGTTGAGGAATATTTGGTGAAGAGTCAAGCTACCTTCTGGGAAAGGCGGTATTCTCTCCACATCCACCTTGGGAGCCAGCCAAGCCCACTAGCTTTGCTTTTGTAGTAAGGCCAGGCCTAAGGAGAAGGAAGCATTCCTGGGCCTGCACAGCTGCACAGAGGTGCTGTTTGAAGGCAAAGTGTCAGGAAAAATGGTGCAGCTGACTCCATGGGCTCTCAGGGCCTTCCTCAGGAATCTGAGTGGGGTGAGGCTGGCTGCTGCATGTAAGCACAGCACACATTGTCCTAGATACTTAACAGGGATTTCTGTGAGGACCCGGGATAGTCTGGGTGGCTCTGACTCTCAGGCCAGAGGGACCCATATGGAGTCTTGTCTGCCCATTTAGGATGGAAGGGGTTTACACATCCAGAGCCTGTGCTGCTTCAGCTTCAGTGGCACTATACAAGCTTTCTGCTAGGTCTGCAGGGTTGTTAGCCATCAGTTCTGAGCCACATCTCTCATGCTATCCCTGCATGCTCTTCTGTGATCTCATTTCCACAGAGTGAACTGTGCTGACCTGGGATGGGGCATATTGCAGATTTCACAGAGGGTGGCACCTCCAACAGAATTAGGAACAAGACACCCAGCACTGCATGATGGAGATGGCCTAGTGCACCACCAAGGACAGAAGTGATCCTGGAGATATTTCTTAGCAGCTCACATGCAAACCATCCCAGGCCCTACTGTGGATGAAATTTGAAGCTAGAAGTAAATCCTTTCCTGACCCCCCAAACGAAAGTGAATATTCCAAAACCATTCTAGCTAGAAGAACCACTGGCCTGAGTGGGCTAACTGCAAGACAGCTCTTTCACTACCTGGGGATAGGGGCAGGGCAATCAGTCTTCCACATGAGATATTTTCTTTTTTTTTCCTTCCTTCCTTCCTCCTCTCCTCTCCTCTCTTTTTCTTTCTTTCTTCTTTTTCATTTTTTGAGACAAAGTCTTGCTATGGAGCCCAGGTTAACCTCAAACTTACAGTCCTGCCTCAGCCTCCCAAGTGCTAGGACTATGAGCCTATGCTACCACACCCAGCCTCACACAGAATTTCTGATTGTAAGATACAGATACTCTTCATACCTCAGAGATGGTGGGGAAGCTGAAAGTGGAAATAAGGAATGACATTGCTTTTAGGTGAAGAATATGGCTTTAAAGTCTCTCAAAATACCAAATCTGTAAAACTAGGAAATAGTCCCATTGGCCTTGGAAAGTACCTATCATCTCTGGGTCATGCTGGGGTACAGATTTTCATGGCCTTGACAACTCACGCCCCACCCCAACCGCCTATCCCATCTGCCCCTCTTTCCTTCTCCACTCAGACCTGGCTGTCCCAGTCACAGACAGTACTACCCTTGTAGCCATCAGGCTGGGCTTTCTGGTATACCAAGAAAATACAGCCTTCTTCCTTTCCCACTTCTAAACTAGAAGGAAAAAATAACAACCCTGAATCAAACTCTGCTTTCATGAGCTGCATCCCATAGGAGGAAAGTCAGAAGGTGGCGATCCGTTCTGTTGGGGGCAAAACTTGTTTTTTCAGGAGCAGCAGCCGGGCGTGACTCTTCCTCAAACAC